TACTAAAATGGGCGATTAACTTACCCACCAGAAACAGTAGGCAATGTGACAGGATGTGATTGATCAATAATTTTTGGACTACTGATTTGTTGCTCAACTGTTGGACTACTGATTGGTTGCTCAATTGTTGGACTACTGATTGATTGCTCAATTGTTGGACTAGTGATTGGTTGCATGAGCGACTCTTCTTCTTTGTCTGATGAAAAGTCAAACCGCACCCTAAAATATCAAATGTTTACAATAGAATAATTTTTACAGTGGCGCTAGAAAGCAAAGTCCATTACCTGACCGATAAATAAAACCACATACAAGCTGAAAATACTTTTTAAAGTCAACGTTTAGTACATAAAAAGGCCACTGTGTTGGCTGAAACTCAGTCACTAAACAGTGTTTCATGCATATGTGGTTTGAGTTGGCGGCCGGACAGTGGGGTCCTATCAATATGTCAACCACAGGATAAGTTTCAAGTATTACATTATACCTTTTGGGTTGAGGGCTTTTTCTCGAGGATTCTTCAGGCGAAGAAGAATCTTCATCGGAGAAATCTTGATTCCATACTCCTTGTGGAATTTTTGCAGCATACTCATGATCAACAGGAAGACTGTAAAATTAAATGTACTAATTTTCAACCAATATACTTATTCAGTTTTGCTAGAATGTAACGGAAGAAATAAATAGGTCACAAAATGTACATTGTTATAATTAACAAAAACTGAAATAAAGATATATTCATATCTTATATAAAAGCCTTATGATTGCTAATATTGATTCCACATAGTCCATTTTTTGAGCATATAATTGTATTTTTTAATCGTGATAAGGTGTCATCAAAACCTCTTAAGCTGAGGAAGCTTTTCCTCAAAAATAATGTATTATGGTCATGACTTGTGAATCACCCTGTATAACTAAAGAAATAGCCCTTTATTTGCCTTTGGAATTATACAAAAAGTATATATTTATGTTTTCAAGTCAGACATGTAAAATTCTCCCAATGTCTTAAGAATCTCGCCAGTGTATGAAAAAATGATTTTAGAATCAAGCCATCAGATGACAGAATTCATAAAATATGTCAAAAAATAAAATAGGTCAGTGTTATTTTCATTTTTTGATATTTATGTGAATACCAAATATGTATAATAGCATGGTTTTGGATAGATACACAGACTTTGCGTAGAAATGCAATAATAAGTACTCATTGTTTTATTTCATGTTTCATTTTACAATTTTATAATACATTTTCACATCATACTATGGATCTTGTTCAATTATATAATATAATAATAATAATATGGAGTGTTTTACTTACAATGATTCTTGTGTAAGATCATGCGGTTATATGATATGGTTAAATTATTATTGTTGTCACTGTTTACCATTTTTGTAGCTAATCACTCTTGTAATATTACCTGATACTCTTTGTGAGATCAAAGGCAGAATGGACAGGAATTGGATCAGCATTAAATCTAAGATGCCTAACTCCATCTGCCATAATCTCAATATCATTTTCTTGAAAGTGTCGTGAACAGACAGTAGCATATTTAGGGACATGATGTTCTTTCTCCAACCCCAAAAGAGATGCCCATATAGATCTTCTCACAGGTTCACTAGGTATACTAAAAGAATGATGGAAGTGCTTTAAATGTAAAGTTGGCCTTAAAATACCCATTTCGAGTAAAATCATAAATCTCAAATTTTTAATTTTACACTCTACTTACCGGTGAAAAGATAAGCTCTTTGCATCAGGATGCCCACTGTATACCCTGCAAACACAACATTGGCGTACCATGTCAACAAAAATAGTTCTAAATAGGTTAAAAGCACAAAATTTCAATGTCTACAGAACCAACCACAACACAACAACTTCAACAGAAACAGTTTCGAGTTTTATTATCCTGACTCGAATCTTCAAACCGAAACCGTTTTCGAATACAAAATTGAATAATGAATAATGCGTTCTCGGGTCAAAATGAACCACTTCGAACTAAAACTGAGCCATCCATAATATACAAAAATGCGCATGTCGAGTATTTTTCTAGTTCGTTCGAGATTTCGTTACCACCACTTTTGCCTTGCATAACACTGTCCATTTGCCCTCTATTTTGTATGTACAAGTGCTATTCCTATACATTTACATCATTCATAAACGTCTATACGTTGACGATAACATATATACAGCGGAGGAGATGGGGACAGTCGTCAACTGCCATGGGTCATCATATCGGGTATAGAGCTATGCTAAAATCGATTTTTGGATTTTTTGGCACTCATGAATTAAATGTATTATCTAATGGATGGTATTGTCAAGTTTATGCTAATTATGAATATGCAAGCCGAAATATAGCGTCGAAGTACAATTAAATATAAGTGTACATAAACACAACAAGAAACGGTCAAAACTAGGACTATGAACCAAACCGGACGTCACATGCACTCAGACCAATCATGATAGTGTCGCCAGCGACAGACGAGGCTCTGAAAACTGATGAGCTTTATACATTTATTAACCCGACTGCCTCAGGAGGAATATGTTTCACATGTTTTTTGGTTTGTATGTATATATCCAAAAATTCTGTTTCACGGGCTCAAATGCTTGTTGGATTTTGGTATTCGGATTCGTCCTAGCAGTATGAGTGATACTGGGTATATTAAAATTTCATTGAAACAAAATGGCGAATATTAATAAAATAATCAACCTTGAAATTCATATTTCCAAGGCTGCAGCTTGAACGGTTTGATGGATTTTGACAGAGGTGCCTCTAGATTAGAGACGGTATACTTGACCAATGTGTTTCCAATATTTACTTAAAAATTAGAGTTGGATTGAACAGTTTTGATCGCCATCCATTTTAATAAGATATTTTTTTAAAACAAATCAAACAGTGAAATGGGAACACTTTTTATTTTGACATTTTTACAAAATCATAAATTACAAGAGTTGCTTCAAGCAGCTACTTCACACTCGCCAATTTAACAATGGGTACAAAATCAGCATAGGCCATTCCTTGTATAATAGTAAAGAACAGTATAAGAACAAACACTCTAAATCTTATTAGTACTACTTTGCCAGTATTATAAAGCGAATGTCAGACGTTCATTTCATACTCTGATCCGTTAGTATTTTCCAAGGAATGTGGTCGTATTCATTGAACGTCTAGCCTAGCGTATTGATGCCATGTTTTATTGTTGCATAAGGTTATGTGGAAATTCAATCATTCCATCGATCCGGAAGGAAATCTATCAGTAAATACTGACGTACGGATCACAGTATGGAATGAACGTCTGACATTCATCTACGAGGTCTCAGTTATAGCATAATTAAAGGAAAATATGCGAGTTATATATATATATATATATATATAATATATATATAAAGGTAACTTTATATAAAATCTAATTACATATAATATAATCAAAAATATATACATCAACACATTAAGCATAATTGTAAATAATTCATTCAATCTTGGGGTGTTACCTAAAGTGTTGTAGTAATCGTGTTGAGAAATTTGTATAGCAAATTAATTTTATAAGATAGCTTATGTATCCATTTATAACATGAAATACGAAAAAAAAACAATACATGCAGTCGGGATATTTCCATTTTACTGTGTATTGGTAGAAATTGCGGAATCTTGAATTATTTCAATTACATGCGAAACAGCTGAAATGTAGTCGACCTATACATACATGATCAGTGTCGCCAGAAAATTAAAAATCTACTAATTAGCTATGCATTTTGGGAAAAACAAAGCTTGAACTTCTGCCACCTACAGGTCTACAAAAATGTACATAATTTAAAAATACTTCTCAACCTTAGAATCATATCATAGAATCCAAAAAATTACGAGAGATACAACAAAGAAAAAAATCTTACTGATGGCTGAATAATACTGCCTTCATATATACACTTCTAATTCTGTTTTTTTTAAACTGTCCGATTTTTTCACAGTTTCGTGATGAATTCTGAGTGAGAAATACTTTTTCAAAATCAGTTTTATCAGAAATATGCAGTGCCCATCAATAGGGTCATCTTCAAGAAGGTGGTGTTCAAAATACCCCAAAATATGTGGTGATATTGATTGTATGGTATTATTGACTAGAATATCCGAGAGATGTTTGATATTTTTGTTAAAGATATTAGTTGTCTTTTGGAAGAAACGAAAGTATTTTTCACCATGGCGGCAAATTTGAATAACTGGTCCTGAGGCTTTTGTCAATTCTCCATAAACTTTTCTTTTTTGCAATGGCATGTCAATATCGCCCTCTAAAGAATTCTTACAATTTATACAAGTAACACAATTCACCACAAACCCTGCAATGTATGAAACAACATCTTCTGTATAAATTGTAAGATTCCATGCAAAAGGTGTGCACTGGTAAAGGGCAAGATCGTTTTTTATTTTTTCTTCAAACTGAAGTAATTCTGGGCTATTTAAAAGATCTTCACCATCGTCCGCCCTGGTTATATGATATCCACTGCCACAAGATAAGATAGTCAAACGCTCTGGGTTATCAACATTTCCTGTGTCTGGGCCAGATATCTCTGTATGCACCAGCAATCGTTTGTATGCAGCTTCAAACTGCCTTGCACTGGGATTATTGTTGTACCCTCCCTTACTACGAATAGCTCCAAAAAAAAGCTCTAAATGATCCTGTGATAATTTATTTGTCAAAATATATTTTAAAACTTTCTTTTCTACAATACACAAGTTATAAAACTGTTTCAAGCTCTGAATGCAAATCAAAAATCCTAAAAAACCAGTTTTTTTTGGAGAATGTATTATTGGTTAATTAAATAATTGCATTTATTAAAGCACACTTGAAGCACACAGGCACTGACTTATTTTACTGTGGCAATGTGTTTATTTTGATAATAATATGTAGTATAAGCTTATTATATGAGAATAGTTCAAGTCCGTATAGAACTCTACTCACCGCTTTCTGACAGGGCTCCCTTGACTGCTATGGGCTTCTGAGCTTGATTCCTTTGATGGAGTAAGTGTCACTGTTGAATCAGAGCTGGAATAATAATGTTTGTTTAAGATACTTATGGATACAATAACAAAGTAAATATTTACAGGGCTAAGTACAAGTATAATCTTGACACATTTTTAATTCTTCAAACTTTAGATAATAGAAATGCTGAGTAAATATTAATCAATATGAATATATAGGGCAAATGTATCTGTATGCTATTAATAGCATGTCAAAAAAACTCAAAAAAGTAACAAACATATTTACCTTGCATACTCCTGCTCATCATGTATGGAGCGAACATCTACTGGTTCAGCACCATCCTTCAAAAGCCTTCTTCCAGCAGAATCATATTCAAAGTCCCTATCATGAAAATGTTTGCTGCATATCAGTGCCACTTTCGGCAACGTTTTCTCCCAGTCAATGCCAAGCAGTGAAATCCATAAAATGCGCTTTGCTGGGTCAGATGGGAGTCTAAAATTGTAAACACATGTCTTACACCAATGATCTGTCTAATGATTATAAACTAGTTAGCACAAAAATATAATCAAATCATGGCAAAATCACGTTTACTTAAGTTGCATGAAGATTGTGTATGTGGATATTTTTGTACTTGATGAACTACACCCAGAACATCTTTAAATTGTATCATACTGCTAGTGATGGATATATATTCATATAAACTCGTCAGGAAGCTACAAAAAGTTACTAAAATGATGGTAAAACACTGTTTTATGATAATTTTTTCAGTAAAATTTGTATTGCCACGCCTATGATATGAAAACATAACCTTACTTACCGATGGAATGATAAATTGGCCGATTCTGGATTACTGCTGTTTATCTTGCACACATAACACGATCGCACCATTGTTCAACAGGTAACAGTTCAATATCACTAACAAACTTATGGCAAATAGCACAAAAATAATGATTTGAGAAAATCCACAACTCAAGCATAAAATACGCACTTTATACTATCGTAAAATGTCCATTCATAAGAAAAATGCGACGTTGCCAATGTCGACTGAAGCTCTGTGACTGAAGGAAATCTCTTTCCAATTCGCTAACGGTAAATTCAATACGAAAATAGTTCACTTTTCTACTTTTCACTATTGCTTATGCAGATTTTCAAGAATGTTAACAATTTTATTATTTTCATGAGTCCAAATAGCTGGTTTACACGATGAAATATTTGTTTGAGGTTTGTTTACAACCAGGTTAGGAATTCTATCAGCTAGTAACTGGCAACATTGCAATTCCCTAATATTTATCCTTTCAACGCGTTTTAGTGTAAATAGAAAGGTCTAGGTCTTTTCATCGTCGTTGTGCTATTCGATTGACACTATTGACAGCTTCCACGTGTTTTCGGTACTTCAATAACTTCCAATAGTTCTTCCATCACTAAACGATAAATGGTCCGCCATCTTAAACACAAAATCTTAAGAACTTAAGATGGAACCATCGACTTTGAAACAAGGATAGACCCAGCAAGTCATTCATAAAACTACATTAGATTCGTTGACGACATAAACAAAGCACAAAGTGGTGGCGAGGGGCTATGAGGGAATGAGAGGGGAACAATAAAATGGCCGCCGCATGAGAATTCAGGTTGTGAAACCTCACGTTACTGAAGACTCTATGTATAACCATTGGTACAATTACACATAGGCGTAGCATACAATACGTATAAGGGTGACAAAATAAGCGTATTTAAATCAAGAGCATCACAAAAAAAAACGGTACGAAGTTGTGTACTAACAAATATATTACTCATATTTGTGCAATATCTAGTTCAATTGGAATACTTACGTGAACTCTATTGAGTGGGCAGGATACAAAAGCCTTTAAAATAGAAACTAGAAGTTATTATGTTCTATTTTTATTCATACATATATATATATATATATATATATATATATATTGCAAAATGTAACAAATCAGGGAACATGGAATGATTATCGAGACCCCAAATAAGTTTTAATATAATCACATAGCTCATTTTCATATCTTCATTCATAAAAATACACTAAGTATCAGCTGAAATGTATATATCGAGCAGTTTATCACTTTTGATATAATTTTTATGTGTTACTATGAAAACATATTGGGTACACATATTAAATAGACATATAATAATTATAACCAAAATAGTAGCAGTCATATAAGAACAAAGTTTTGAATATAAGACAAACCTAGGCTATCTAAAAACTAAAACAAACGTTATTAATCCTCTTACCACCTATTAAACTGTAAACCAATCATTCTGTATGTCGCAGTATTATGTATTACAGGATGGAAAATTAACTTACAATACACCAATATGCAGCCAATAAATGTTCTGCCAGATGTTGAAAAAGTTTTTGAAGAAATTATTTACGAACGGATCATCGAATTTATTGAGAGAAGTAACATTTTAACCAAATTTCAAGCTGGATTCAGGACACAAATGGTTTTAGAGGACTGGAGGAGATGTATAGACAATCGGAAACATACAGTAACAGTGTTTTTTGAACTTCAACAGGGAGTTTGGCTATTGAGAGGGATAAATTACTTACAAAATTGCATCACTACGGATTTAAAGGATCTGTATTAAAAATTCCACAAAACTATTTAATTGACAGAAGTCAAAAAACCAAAATTGGATCTACATGATCAATATCAAAGAATATTTCTTTTGGTATACCACGAGGTAGTAAACTAGGTCCACTACTATTTATTTTATACATTAATGACATTTGTAATATTTTAGATTATTGTAAACTTCAGATATTTGCAGATGATACATTAATATACATATCAGATGAAAATATAGACACTGCTTTAAAAATGCTAAATTCTGACTTGGCAAAAATCGTAAATTGGTTAAATGTAAATAAACTAAAATTGAATACTTCTAAAACAAAATGTATGCTAATAGGGAAATACCTAAATGAAAATACTATCACAGTTAGGATAAATGGAGAAATAATTGAAAATGTTGCATCAATTAAATATTTAGGTATATATATTGATAGTAAACTAAAGTTTGAGGATCACTATGAATACATTATTTCAAAAATTGCCAATAAAAAAAAACAAATTTCCATTTTATAGAGCTTCTCATAGTTTTGGTACCTATTCCTAGAAAATAGTTTATAATACCGCATTTACTATACTGTTCAACTATCTCGTTCACTGCCAATGAAGCTGTATTCTCAAAATTACAAGTCTTGCAAAATAAAGCTATGAGAATAATATTGAATAAAAATAAGTACACCAAAATAAAATCTATGTTACAAGAATTGCAAAGGTTGAATACAAGAAATTTCATATCATATTTGGTTCTTATTTATATATTTAAAATAAAAAATCATCTTGCCTGCCAGAACATTTAGAACACTACATAGAATTCAATATTCATTACAACAATTATTATACAAGAGGAAATATAGATTTTCATTTACAAAACTGCAATAGTAATATAACTAGCAAATCAATATTTCAGAAAGGATTACTTGAACTCAATAAACTAAATAATGTTATAAAGTCTACTTGTAATTTAAAGATATTTAAAAGAAAATTAAAGGAATATTTCATGGACAACGAAAACTCTTAGACATGCAATTTTTTTTTCTGAATGTCTGTATGTTATGTAATTGTTTAATTTTTTAGAAGAATGTAATTAGCAATCATACTAAATAAATCTTAAGCAAAACAAACAATTATCGTACATTATCTAGAAGCCCCAATTTACAACAAATAAACAGCTGGTGGCTGACAGAGTTGACAATAAAAAAATGGCATCAAGCAGGTTGAGTCAGTGCAGAGTCATCAGTTTATAAAGGATTATGTTCCTCAACTTAAACGTCAGAACGAAAATTAAGCGATTTTTGTTTGATTTTTCATTTTTTGCCGTTAAATTCATTGCCATTGGACCGATTTTCAAAAAGTACAGATCTTCGTCCTTGCCATAGTAGCAACCTTGTGTGAAGTTATAGACGAGCCAAGGAATAGAGAACAGGCCGAACGAAATGAGTGAAATGATTTTTCGTGATGTCCATATCGTATCATACAGAAAACATGATATCTAATTTTCGAAATGTTTCGCGATTACGATACTCTGATAGCTGTTGAGAAATTCTGGGGAAAAAGTGTTAATTTAAAATTTTTGATTCAACCTAATCAAGAAAACAAGACAATTCATATTGTGAGGCAGCAAACGTAATATAAATTAAAATTTCTTTTGAGAGTAACCGAGCGTCGGTAATTCTATTTAACTTGTACATAATGAATGTGTTTATTGACAGCTAAATGAATTCAAATAGGCAGGATTCGATATCATTGTTTTTGAACAGGCCTATCATTGTGAACTGACTGAATAAAGCTCACTGATGTTTAAACAAAATAGTTTTTGTGAAAATGCTTCTTATTTTGAGTGTTTTTGATCATTCTTGTTGTTTTGTCGCTTCATGGTGTATTCTTAAATTAAAATAATTACACAATATAAGTTTTATCAGGCACATCACATGTCCATCTAGCGGATCGTCATCATATAGGTGATTTTCAAAATTATGTAATATTTTTGGTGATAATGTTTTCAGTGTGTTTAGTATTAAAATATCTATCAAGTTTTTTATGTTTTTATTGAATATATTCGTAGTTTTATGAAAAAATCTGAAGTACTTTTCAGCTGCAGAACAAATTTCAATACACTTTTGAGGCCTTTACTAAAGAGCCATACTGTTTTCTTTGTTGTAGTTTAGAAATGACAATATCACCCTCCAAAAGACTGCAGCACTGTGAACATGTGACACATTTCTTCAAAACTTTGACAACAAATCCTGAAATGTAGGCTACCACATCTTCAGCATATATTGTTAAGTCCCAAGCAGATGAAGAAAAACTATATTTTGATATGTCTTCACTCACAGCATCTTTAAAATCAATGAATTCTTTCCTGTTTAATAAATTTTCCCCGTGTTCATCTACTGTAACCTGTTGTCCACTACCGCAGGATAAAATTGTCAGATTTTCTGAATGAGATATGTTTCCCGTCGATGGACCTGAAATCTCCGTGTGTACAAGTAATCGTTTATATGCGACTTCAAAATGTCTTGCTGAAGGATTGTTATTGAAGCCTCCTTTACCCCGAATCGCACCAAAGAATAATTCAAGATGATCTTGGGATAATTTGTTTGTCAATATGTATTTCATATATTTCAGTTTCTCTACATAGGTGCTATACAACCCCCTAAGACTTTGGATACAAATCAAAAATCCCAAAAATCCAGTTTTTCTTGGTGAATTTAAAACTGCAACGTCAGCAAGCTTTAAATTTGAGATATAAATGGTTACTTGATCTAAAAACTGGAAGAAAGTGTGGGCGGTAGAGGGGGATAAAGGCCTCCTGTACAAATATTTTGCAAATCTGTTCCGGGAACTGAAAACGTCGAATAGATCGTTAAACGTCTGTACAAAAATAGACGTTGGTTTAATATCTTTGAAAGATGGTAATTTTAAGTCTTCTCCCAAGTATAACAACACATCTGCTACACTCTTACTCAGAGCTTGAGTCGCAATCTTCACCTTCATTTTCTCCCTTGCCCACTGGAGGTGTCTGGGCCTTATTTTTGTAGCTAAGTGTAATCCCTGAGAACTTTGTATATCAACCAGTTTTACTAAAAAATTCCAGTCAATCTGGTTGCCAGACATATCTGTCAAATATTTCTGAGAACCAAAAGTATTTCTGACTAATTTTATCATGTGACAAGGATCTAAAAATATATAAACTTTGTTGCCAGTTATAGGGTGATTGAAGTAGATTTTCAGCTGTTTGGGATCACTAAAATTGGCTCCTAGACGTGATGTCATGGTCATCATCTTATATGAAAAGTTAAACAGCAGATAGAATCAGAATCAAAATGAGTGGTTGTTAAATATTATTAAATACAACTATTCTTTTTTGTTTACTGTATTAGAAAAACTAGTCTATTATGTATTAAGAGTTTACCTGGTGCTTACTGCAGGATCAAACAAAGAATGAGAGATGAGAGGAATCGCATCCCACTTGAGTGTCTTTTGTCCCCCACTTCCATAAACAAACGCATTTTCTCCAAAATGCTTGGAACATAGCTCCACCCTCTTAGGAAATTGATGGTTTTCCTCGAATCCAAGGGCCGACAACCACCTTTTTCTCCTTTCCGGGTTCTTGGGAAGGCTAGAATTTCGAATATTACAGTTATAAATCGAAAGCTATCAACAAGTTTCTCGATAATGAGACGCCATGATCCGCCTCTGAACATAAACAAGATGTATACTTACGAATGAAATTTTAAAGATTCCGCTCCAGCCTGATGTTTATAAATTTTACACAAATAGCACTGCTGCACCATTTTATTGCGATTGAATATACCTTTATAGTATCTCTAAAATGAATAAAAGCAGCAAGGAAATTCACTATCAAAACAAACTTTGACAATTGACACAAAATGGCAGTTGTTTAGTAACTTAAATAAGTGCTACCAATATACTATTTTCTTACGATGTGGACAAATTATGAATGAGCAGATAAAAGCAACGTTGCCAGATCTTCAAGTCGATTATGGTATAATTTATGTAAGGTTCTTACTTGTTTGACTATTTTGATATCAATCCATTGTATGAGAATCATGATGTTTAGTACCCACACATGCGCTGAAAAATCACCATAAACAGGGAATAATTTTAGTTACTGGAGGTTTGAAAATGTGTAGAACGACCACGAACAAATCCGTTGTTTTGCTGCCGTTTCTTGCGGCGAGGCAACGTGGCGATTCGCTTTGTATATGTCGTCAACAACCAGAAATGTAAGCAAAGGGGTCTATCCTCGTTTTAAAGTCGATGTTCTATCCACAGACTACTAAGGAATATAGACCTTGCAAGTCATTCATAAATCACAAATTCGTCTTTGCCGAGCCAGGGGAGTGTGGGTTGTAAACATATAGTAAAAATGGCCGACTTCACCAGAACATATGATTTCCAAGGCTAACACATGCCGCACCGTTCGCAGCTCGATCCAGCGGCGTAGAATAGGTTGAGTATTTGAGGCTACTTGTTTATATTGAGCAAATATAATTGCGAGGTATAAAAGGAGCGATGCATCAGCCAATTCGTTTTCGAAATTCATCCTTTGATCTGCTTAACTGTACAGACTTTCGCTAATTGAAGATTCAGAACTGTCAAATCAATAAAATATCATGTTGACAACCATAACCAAACCAATTATTCACTGAATTATTCTTGGCCTCCGAGTGATTTTTATAACAGCTCAATTTACACTATTTTTGAGGAAAATAACAGAATTTATTTGGAACAAGTGCTAAAAATAGTAGGCTATATTGAATTGAATTTTAATTCTATATGGTCAATTTGTATACATGAAGTGTATAAGTGAAAAACCTCTGTGGAAAAAGCAGAAAGCTGATGTAGAGTGAAGCATGAAACCTGCCAAAACCTGTATTTTAGTCCAAATAACATGAAACAGGTTTTTATAAAAATATTAAAAATAACTTACAAGCTGTGTAAGTTACCTAACGTCTGTAGAGTCAGTGGAATATATTAATGAAATAATATTGAGATGTGATTTTTGGTATGCCTCGTTTCCACTAATTGAATAAGAACAACTGAAATTGCGATATGTTGGAACAACAATAAGCTACAGACATACCTCACATTTTCTGGAAAACTAAACAAAGAATGTCTAGCCAAAGGGACAGCGCTTTTCCTCAATTTTCTGATTCCAGATATATATATATATATATATATATATATATATATATATATATATATATATATATATATGAAAACCCCTAGAGAAAGGCGTAAAAAAAGTCAAAGATGTGAACGTATAGCACTTCGTAATTCCTGAAATCCACAACAGAAGATATCATAAAAACTCACAATCCTATTCGCATTATTGCACGTAAAGTTTATTGGTGCTTTAGATAGAAGATTTATCTGCGCCCTCTTGCAGTAAAAGGAAACTTTATATTTAGATGTCAATCTAGGTACCAGGAAATTAATTTGCGATAGCAAAACAGGACAGTCGATGTTACCATGCAGTAATTTGTATAAAAATATGATGGACGCCTGCTCTCTGCGCTTTTCCAAAGAAGGCATGCCAAATCTATTCAGTAATTGTGAGTAGTCACATCCTCTTGGAGGATAGACACCATCACTCCTATAGCATAGATATTTTAGAAATTTCTTCTGCACTTTTTCAACATTAGTTTTGTACAGTTTATAGATAGGACTCCAAATAATTGCACCGTATTCTAATTTACTTATAACAAGCACTGAAAATAACTTAATAAGCGTTGTGTTATTGAAATTTCTACAATTTCTGATAATAAAGCCATATTTGCGATACGCATTACTTATAATTTCACTGATGTGGTAGTTAAAAGTGAGCTGACAATCGAAGTAGACGCCCAAATCTCTGAAAGTTTCACACCTTTCCAATACAGAATCATCTATTTTGTATGGGTAAGTTAAAAATTTGGCTTTCCGGGTGAAGGTCAAAATGCGGCATTTAGAATTGTTCAAATACAAATTGTTATTAACACACCATGTTTGTAAAAGAACTAGTTGTTGTTGGAGGTTTTCACAATCTTGCCAGCTAGAAACACATGCGTAAAGCTTCAGATCATCAGCAAACATAAGCTTTTTGCATGATAATGTGCTGCAAAGATCGTTAACGTATAAGGCAAACAATAGGGGGCCCAAATTAGAACCCTGAGGTACACCACTACTTGGCATATATTTATAAGAACTAAATCCATTATAGAATACATATTGAGTTCTCATGTCTAGATAAGACTTGAGAAGATCCACATAAGTTCTGTTGAATCCCATGTATTCAATTTTTTGTAGAAGTAGTTGATGGTCAATTTTGTCAAACACTTTTGTGAAATCAGTATATATGACATCCACTTGCCCCCTATTGTCTACCGTCTCGCATAGATATTGACCGAACGTGGCCAAATTCGTAATAGTGGATCTCTGCTTCATAAAGCCATGCTGATGCACTGACAGATGGTCTTTAGTTGCCAAGTAAATTCTGGAATACAATATTATTTCAAAAGGCTGTGCAAAATTATTCAGTATAGTAATCGCCCTGTAATTATTTACTAAGGTTCTGTCTTGCGACTTGAAAATTGGGCAGACTTTGGCAACCTTCCACTTATCAGGAAAAACCGATGAACGTAGAATTGAATTAAAAATCGTCAACAAAGGAGTTGAGAAGAGCTTTACACAGTCTTTAATGAAAAACGATGGAAGGTGATCTGGCCCTGATGTAAATTTGTTTTTGAGTTTCTTTGCAGCATCTAATATCTCTTTTACACTTATTGACTCGCATGTTATATTAATAAGAATATCATTGTTACAATTCTTGTACTCATCACTTATAAGACAATCACCCGGTGGAGAGTAAACACTCTGAAAAAAGTCAGCAAAAGCATTGACTACTGATACGGGGTCATTACAGGAGTTATTTTGGTAGAACATTTTATTAGGAATTCTAGATGTGTTACTCTTACTGTGCATGAATGACCAAAAAGATTTAGGTTCATTAATAAGCTGGCTTTGAAGTGTTTGAATGTAAGTTATATAAGCCTGCTTAATTTTTTGTTTAAATGTGGCTCTAAGCCTATTGAATTCCTGATAATATGCGATGTTATTAGTAACCTTGAATCTTTTATGGTATTTGGCCTTTTCTTTTACTAATGCAATCATTTCGCTGGAATACCATACAGGATACTTATGCTTGAATATTTTTGCAGAAGGAACATGTCTGTCAAGTATTGGAAATAAGTTGTTGTAGAAAGTTTCAACTGCTTGGTTAGGATCAAGCGCAGTATCTAAGAAATCCCAGTTTGTGGTTACTAGTTCCTCATAAAGCGTGGGGAAATTAGCTTTTCTGAAGTTATACCACTTATGCTGAGTGTTGGTGGCAAATTTTTTCACTTCAAAATGAAATTGATTTATGGTTACAGATATAGCAGGATGATGGGGATCTTCATTTATAAATGGGATTGGGTCTCGAGATACACTAAGTCTCACATTACTTATTGCCAGGTCTAATAATTTACCATAACTATTGCTAATAGTGTTATATTGGTTAATACCAGACAAAGTGATCCAATTGTTGATGATGGAGGTTTTTCTATCCTCGTTATTACCCTCAACATAAGCCGTACAATTAAAGTCACCTATGACAATTAATTTTTTTGCATACATACAAATAGTACATATTCTCGACCCTTTCGAGGAAATTTTCAAAACAATCGATTGATACATGAGGTGGAATATAAATGAGTGCGACATATAAAATATAGCGAGATATACTGCACTTGCAAAGCAAAAGATCAATTTCAGGAAAGTCGTCTCCAAATTCACTCGTATTTAAAATTTCAGACTTGAGGTCAGCATCCATAGCCAATAACACTCCGCCACCTGCCGATAAACCGATTTCGATGTACATCATAGTTCTCAAGAAATAATTCACTAGACAAAACAACTGGTTTCAGCCAGGTTTCCGTAAGTGCAATTATATTATACTCACAATCACTGGCATTGGAAGAAAACGCATCCACCTTACTGTTAAGTCCCCGTACGTTCTGGTAGTACAATTTCACTGGGTCGACCTGAATACTGCTGGGCAAATCTAGTTTAACTGTACTATTTTTGGGATATCGTCGAAATATTTTATGCGACAATTTGTATCACCAGCATTGTGCCGCTCCGTCAGCTCACGCTTGACTTCCTTATAGTACTCCAGCTGCTTCTTCGTTCGGTCTGGAGCTATCCTGACATTGCTATAGATCCTGCTAGTATTCAACTTTCTTGCGTTCATAGCGACTTTTTGAGCAATATCAGGGCTTTCGACTGAGATTTTTATAGGACGGATTTTGTTTCCAGCGAATGGACCCAGTCTAATAGGTTTTAAGTTGGTTAGCGTTAGCTCAGGATCAACTTTAGATACTATATCCAAGACAGTAGTGGAGTCACTCTCGGTTTGTTCCTTTTTCGATTTGGCCTGGTCCGGCTCTTTAACACTGAATAGAATTATGTTAGTTTTGCGCTTTTGCCTTTCAATAACTTCCTATATGACATCCTCGAAGCTGAATCCTGAAGAATCCGCAGCTTGCGTATTTGCAGCCTTCAGTTCTTTGATGTCATTTTGCAGCTGTATGATCAGGGCCCTTAGTCCCTTGATATCCTTACCAATGGCTCGGCAATCGACGCAAGTCCAATCGTAACCCTTGTTTGCATTTAGCGTTCGAACTTCATTAGCAGTAATAGATACACAACTGTGATTATATTTCTCTGTACAAACGGAACAGGTGATTAGAAAACGACTATCGAACATCTGATTGCAACATTTACAAGGCGCTCTTGATGGCATTGTTTATCGCTCAGAATCAGTACGCCACTGCCAGATGTGCTGATAGACGGTGGTAGCGAAGATGACTCTTCCTCGAATAAATTTTAAATTCTTCAAATTTCAGCTTTCAAACATTCACAGTGGCAGATAAAGGACCTCTTAGAATACTGGTACTTACACAATAATTCAATAGGCACTAGATTGTGAACTAAACACGATATCAAATAGCTGTAAACAAAACACGTTTTTTGTAAAACACTTGTCATATTTTTTTTGCCAACTTCTAACCTTTCCTTATATAACCTAAAGCAATGTTCTCCATATTTACATACATTTATTACAAAAGCAGAGGCTTTAACTAATTTTCCATACGTTTTTCTTATTTGTAATTTCGATATAGACTCTCCTGAAGTTTCTAACAAATCTAAACAACTCTGGCATTTTATAGACTTTTTTAGCCTCTTCACAACAAAACCTGCAACATATGCAACAACATCTTCCAGATACAGTGTAAGCTGCCAAGGACTTATTCGAAGAAAGTTTTTAAATTGTATAAAATCTTCATCTTCCTCTATACTGTTTGATGATGAGGTCATATCCTCACTAATTTTGATCTCTAAAGATGATGATGAACAGTGCAAAATGGATATGCTATCTAATGCCACGACATTGGATGCTTCATTGCCACTTATTTCAGTATGAAGTAATAATTTTTTTAAAATATTCTGAAACTGCTTCGAGGTAGGATTATTACAGTATCCTCCTTTGCTTCTTATACAACTGAAGAAAATGTCCAAATGATCTTGAGATAACTTATATGTGAGAAGGTACTTCAGCTCTTTGGTTTCTTTGACTCTATAGATAAGTAAAAGTATAGCAACAAAATATTCCATTTATCCAATAGCTAAATATAATTAAGGACTTACTCTGTTTGCCTCAAAGGCTCTACTGATGGAACTGCTGAATGCTTTAGTTGAGTTCTTTTGCCTTCTATTAAATCACTTTTGTGAAAATGATTTGCGCAAATAAAGGCATGAAGTGGTAAATCATGTATGTCAATATTGAGGATAGTGCACCATTCTTCTTGTTTTTTCTTATCACTAGGAAACCTGAAAGATCAAAAACGTGTCTAACAGAAGAGTATTTTTTGAAAATCACCACACATACAGTGTAAAAACAACCAATAACTATAAAATGTCTATTTCTTAATACTAAAAATCACAACGCATCCCCATGCGCTACGCCCTTGTCCTCCTCTAACCTGTAACTCACCTGTGGAAGGTTGCCTCAGTTTTTTCACTGCTAACTCCACAAAGAATGCACTTCCGACGTCCCATTGTCTTTGAAAATTGTCTATCAATGATAACAATGCTATAATTGCCGCTAAAACAACCTGAAAACACTTTTGAATACTCACAACAAATTCACTGTGCACAACAATAAACACCAGATGTTTGTAAATTCTATGTACGCATCCACCACTTGCCGTTCAACACCGTTGCCACGTTCGGCAAAAAGTCGGTAGAAATGTGCTACTTTCGAATGAGAGCAAGTTTCGTCCAAGGTAGAACAAATCCAGTCAAAGAACTGACTGGGCAAAATATTATATGTAATGTTCGCTGTGAATTACCCAACATGAACCTGCATCCGTTTTGAATTGAATTTACGGCGTCGGCCACCTCTGTGACCGTTTTTGCGAGTATAAACAAATATGAAAAGAAAAAATAAATTTTTAAAATTTAAAATGACGTTGACAAATGCCTAGGAGCAGTTGTTTGATCGACCGGAGCGTCCACACCTTATTTAAGTCCACCTTCATTTCAGGCGGAGTGCACACCAATATCTCATTCCATTTTCAATAGATTTTTTAGTATGGAGAAGTGGCAGCGTCGCATATATTTGTTTACCGTAAATACAGTTATGTTGACGACGATATTTTGTAGGGAATTATTTGTCTATTTATATTTTTAGTCTGAGGTTTATAGTCCCTCTAAAATGTATAATTATCGAATAAACAAAATTCAGTCAAAGCAGTTTTGACAAATGTCACAAAACGGTAGTTGTTTAGTAACTTAAGTGCTACCAATATACTATTTTTTACGATGTAGATAAAACTAGAATGAACAGATAAAAGCAACGTTGCCAGATCTTCAAGCCGATTATGGTGTAATTTATGTAACGTTCTTAATTTGTTCAACTATTTTAACACATACAGAAACGCAACAAATGAGCAACTTTTTGGAAACATAATAAAATAAAAACTTATGTCCACATTACCAAGAGACAAAAAGTTTTCAGTTATTTTGTTTTGTGCAGTTCACAGCAGAAATTTTCAGAATGAAAATATGTGGCGTTTTTATGCTGAAAGGCAGAAAGCAAAGACTTTATCATGATGTCTGCTGGTTCTGTGTTTCTCCAGTTTCAAGAACTTTTTAAGAATGTTTTTCGGTCGTGGTGTCTCCAACAAAAAGCATGCAACCCATCTCCTCCCCCCCTCTTCATACTTCTAATCATCGGCAATCAATGCAAATAATAATAATAATAATGTTTATTGGAGTATTAATACAATCAAAATAAGAGCAAATAATATAACACCAAAAAAAAAAATAATACTCCAAATGGCTGGGGATTGGTATAGCCATTTTTCACCCCTGCCTCAATAGCTAAGGTTAATTCATTAAGTGCATTACTATATCTTACTAGGTCATATTATACATGTATACATTACATAAAGAACATGTAGCCGACTATAATAATGCTAACAAAACTTTAAAATATAATAATATTAATAATGAGATTTATTCGACCACCTGTAGATTCATTAAATTGTAACTGTAATAGCATTCTTTTGAATTCTCTTTTGAAGCTGTGAATGGACGTTAATTTAAAGAAAATGAAATTAGGTGTGTTTACACATTGTGCTTTATTTTATGATTGTAAACAAAAATAGCAAAATGTGTGCCTTTTGTGGTAAGTACAACCCCAATATAGAAGTAATAAAACACAGTAAATACCTACTTGAAAAAATGTTTATTTGATGGTTTATTAAATATTTTATATGGAGATCAATCAGTGCACAATAAAATTTTCTTGACTTTCTCATTAGGAAATGTGTCAACAAAAAATATATGTAAATATGGGATATCACACCAGCCCAAGTTATGTTAACAATCAGCAGTAACTGCTGCCAACTGTTGGCAATGAACATTACACGGATTTGAAAATGTGCGAAATATGAAAATGTTTAAGCTGATAACATAGCAATTATATATAAACTAGCCTAAACCCGCGGCTTCGCTCGCATGGGAGTATAATAATACAATAGTTACTTTGGCACTGGACCTTTTCATTCCACATATCAATTCAATAATAAATTAATTTAAAATGTGTAATCACAATAAATAATTAATGCCATGAAGTATCTCACAGCCTAGGTGGCCTATCTAACGTTACTAAATGTCCCGAATGGAGTGGGACAGCTGACTTTTCCCGTCAAGGTGTCCAGCTGGCGACACAAAATGGTCCCACTTTCTCAACCTTCCTTCCCCTCACCCTGCGCTTTGACGTATGGTGGTCTTGAGCAAAATAATCTGAAAAACATTTTGTGAGTGTATAAAATTCTTACCATTGAGAGGAAACAACTGGCCAAATGGGCCTTGGAACAGCACCAGGTTTTAGCCAAGTTCTTCCACTAGCATCAGTAGTGAAATCTTGTTGCCAAAAATGCTTTGAGCATATTCTAACCACTTTGTGGGATTGAGGTTTCACAGGCGACGACTCGCTCTTACTACAAGGATACTACAACCAAGTGCAGCGTCGCCGTATATAAACGTTAGTCACAAATATGCAGAAAATACTGTGGTTTGTATTAAACCTCTATTTGTATTAAAGTTCGCGTATTGTTCGCTTGTTCTATAAATTATTATAGGTATATAACAATATACATAAATGTCTTCTAGAAGAACCTTTCTGCAACAGAAATAGGTCATTTGGCTAGTTGTGGATACCATGGGACCAATGTCAAACGACTGTGGGGCCAACTTTATTTGGCGACATCGCAAAAGAGTGATTGTTGTAGGGGTAGAACTTTTGTAAACATTCTAAACTGAATCCAAATTCAAGATGAGATGTAGATAATAACAGTTAGCGCGTGATCTCTTGGTAACAGGTGGGGACAACGCCTCTTATTGGTCAATTCGCCATTAAATTTCAAGCGGTCGCCTGGCGGAATAATGCGCGGGGCAGAGGCAGATCAGGCAGAGTTGCACTCAGGCCACCGTCCGTCGCGTGTATCACTGCGTGCTCGTGTTTTCGTATTCACCATGCTTGGTTGTTGCTGTTGTTAAGTGTATTTGAGTAATTTGTTAAGTTTCTGTTGAATACTGCCATCTTTGTCTTTCAACACGTTGGTGGTAGTCCAGCATTCGGAGGTAGCCCTGAATGCGGCCCTGTACGCCGTCCTTGATTTTGGCAATCACGCATCCATTCTATCTTGGGTGTAAATATACTATAAGTCTATTTGGGTAAGACGTCATTGACCAAACCGCACTCATGCTATTCTATACATTGTCTCCATCATTGTATATATCGAGACGTAGACAGTTAATATATACGCGTGAACGCCCATCACTGGCAACAAATGCCAAAACCTGCAGTTTGCCTCGGTTTTCGGCTATAACGTTCTTGCTATAAGTCGGATCTTTTTACGTATGGTGTCATTTTGTAGGTCTTATAAATACCTAAATATCTTATTTGAAGAGTTTTTCCGTTCCTTTCGACACGTTCGATTGAATCCCAAAAAACGCGTTTTCTCATTCTGTCTTGTAGAATAAAAAGTTTTCCCACAAAAATTGATGTACCCATTTTATGCGTCCATGTTTAAAATTCCCCCTCGAACAACTTGCAGCAAAAAAACCACAATTTACAATTATTTCGCAAACCAGGGGTATTTTCGGCTAATATGATTAGACTATTGCCACTGTATACTCACCTCTGAAACATTAATGTTTCTGCACCGGGTAATCACACACTTTACACCAATATCACACTCTAACCATTGTGGATTTTGACAAAAATCGCTGAATAACACAAGGCCCGTATCGTCAGTTGTTCCTACAATTATTGTAGGACGCCTTTATGGCCTCCTTGATTTTCATAATAGTATGTAACTGTGATGTTAGGTTATGATTCTTTTTTGACGATTAAGAAATTTTAGACAGATGAATCAAATGCCCAAGGATATTTTCTTGGGAATAATGTTGATCATTCAATAATAATTTCCTACATTGAACAAATTCGTCAGGCTGTGGTATCTGTTATTAAGCGCTTAAGTGGTAATGACGTATATATTCGCCAACATATTTTTTATCCAGGTTGATTATGACGGATATATTCGCCAAGAATATTTTATTGAGGCCGTCCATGGCTATCACGAATACGTGCCTGTGATGATTCCACCGTACATATAAGGAATAAGGAACAATTACTTGTGTTTGTGATATCGGCAACACCGAAAGTTGTTGTCTGCCACCATTTGATTTTGGTGTATGCAGATCAAAAAACATAGACCTTTACATTCATTCATAAAATGTGTTTCTGAATATTGACAAGATAAACAACAAAAAAATGTCTACCACTGGGAGAACGGAACTGACAGTTGTTAACTCGCATGGGCGTATCAAGGGCGGGGTAACGGAACGCGCATTTGAAAACTATTTTTGCAGGGTTTTCAAAAATGTATAAAAATTAAATGAATGTAAGAGCATGAGGTATACTGCAATGAAATAACATCTCATTAAAATGAATTGTTCATAATATCACAGAATGAAATAGCATGTTTGTAGAATAAATAATGAAATCTTGTATGTGAATACTCTTTTACCTGATTATCATAATACAGATAAACATTATAGGAGTAATGTTTTTATCCACCCTAACTTCCTCGAAATAGAGGAGATTTTGTCACAGATGGGTTTAAGGAATTTGGCCATATGAGGTGTTGCAATCAAAACTGAATCTCTGTTTATTCAGCTACAGCTCAAATGGTTTGATGCATTCTCACATAAGAGGTATGCTTCCATATTTCTAACGATAACAGCACAATCAAATCTACATTATTTCCAGTTACTGCAATCAATCGAAGAATAGTTCAAGGGAGTACAAGACTCTCTACACTCACCACTTTCTGACAGGGCTTCCTTGAGCACTATAGGATTCTGAGCTAGATTCCTTCGATGGAGAAACTGTTACTGTTGAATCAGTGCTAGAAGAAAATTGGATCTCATTTAATTTTATGCCATATATTTGATTATATTTTTGAGCACACTTATGGATACACTGATCAAGGTAAATATTTACAGATCTAGACTCTATTATTAAAAAAAAAATCAATATTAATCAATCTAGATGTGTGTTATTAATATAGTTATATGAATAAAATTGTTACATTAATTGAATGTTTTTTTTAAAACAAAACTTGAAAACATGACAAAAATAAATACCTTACATCCTCCCCCTCATCAAGGAGAGGGCGAACATTTATTGGATCAGCACCATCATTCAAAAACCTTCTTCCAGCAAGATCATATTTAAAACCCTCGTCACGAAAATGCTTACTGCATATACGTATCTCTTTATTAAGTATCGTTTGGCTATCAATGCCAAGCAGTGACATCCATATCAAGCGCTTAGCTGGATCAGCTGGAAGTCTGAAATTGTAGAAACATGTCTTACAAACCATAGCATTTATGTTAGTGACATTGACGTCTTACTATGGGTAAGACGTCAATGGTTAGTGAGTTATCATTCTGGTGATAGTCGATCCCAAAATGTATTTGTATTAATCGTTGCATGTAACTATGCCACTGAACTTTTAAAAAACCATGATTATATGAATACTTTTCAAAGTCGACGGGCTGTACCCAGAATACATTGAAATTGTAACATACTGTTAACGAACGTTATACACGTGACTTTGAAGTTGAGTCATTAATTTTCAGATAATGATTGTAGAAGGAAGACAAACCAAAATATGTGTGTAAAAATAAAAACAAATTTTACCTTGTTTTATAAAGTATCCTCCCGACAAGTATTTCAGTGCGGACCTGTATTTGATCGTGCGGTCTTGGACCACCGGCATGCCCTCCCCTGTGAGGTCTTAAGTCACGTGTACTACATTAACAAATGCACGAGGGGTTGGTTGCACTCGATTGGGAAACCGATCCGCATAGATTCTTGATGCCGCGGCAGCATTTTGTAAAGACTCCCCCCCCGTAAATAAGAATCATGTCCACAAGTTCAGCATTTTCGTAAACATGTGCGATTGTTTATTTCGTTTGAGCCACGCAACAGACACTACTATTCACTCACGCGTTACCGACTGACACATTGACTAAATACAACTGAATAAGCGTTTCAAATTATTTCGCTTTTTTGTGTCCGATGCGATGAATCGATAAGGCGGATTATATCCGTTGTTGCCAAACACGAGCACATAATATTATTATTGAGACAGGGCGGTACTCAAACTTCTAAAGGGCTATAACTTTGTTACTTTAATTTTATCAGAAAAATGTTAAAGGAAAAAAACATTTCTTTTGATCAGATCTACTCACTGTTAAAATAAATGACTCAACTTCGAAGTCACCCTGTATACGCACCTAAACATGCCAGTAAGCTAAATAAGCTTACTAAAATGGTGGTAAGAGTCTGATGATGTTACGTTTTACAGTAAAATTTTTGTGAAATGTCTGTCCGCGCCCATGGCCGTAAATATAACCTCACTTACCTATGATATGATATATCAACAGATTCTGGGTTGTTTGAGTTTATTTTGCACACGTAGCACGATCGCCCCATTGTTCAACATATAATAGTTCAATATCACTAACAAAATCAGGTCGAGAAGCAAGGGAACAACGATTTGTGAAAACGAACACGATCAAGTAAAACTTTCGTCACGCTTACGTAATGACGTCATTCAGCGTTGCCAGCTGTTGACTAAAGGAATATTCTCCCAAATGCACAGACTGTAAATTCAATACAAATATAGTTCATGATATTCTATTTTCACTATTGTCTATACAGGAATTTAGAAGAATGGTAGCAATCAAGTATTTTCATGGGTTTTGATGACTTTAGAGCAGATGAACATGAGCAGATATTTATTTATTTCTCGCTTAAAACACCATTTCCCACTGAGTGGTTGGCAATATTGCAATTTCATAATATTTATGCTTACAATTAGTTTTATAGTAAATAGAAAGGTATATGTGCACAGACTGTGCAAAACGTAGCGTCTGGACCGGCCTTTAGCATGAGGGAGCCGTTGCTGAGTGGTGAGTGGGGGATAGAATAAGGTAACCTAACTTTTTGACGTTTAGATCTTGAAGTAAACAAAAATATTTTTTGATAAAACCTTGGGCCCTAAAGATAGAAGATATGACCACTAAGAAAAAGGTAAAATAAACACATTCAATAATAGTTTCCGTTGACCTTTTATAATTTTTAGAGTGGTAGTTCAACTGAATCGAGTTCTGCCTCTACCTCGGAGTCATCAAGCTCAAGCTCTTCTTCCAGTGGTTCAGACAGTTCTTCATCCAGCGATAGCGAATCTTCTTCATCCCAAGACTCCACCAAGCAGCAGTCAGAGCAAGAGACCTCAAAGAAAACAGCTAACTTACCTAAAACTACCAGGAAGAGTACTGAGACTAAGGCTGCACCTGCGGCCAAGCTTGAGGCTAAGGTTACTACCAAAGGCTAAAGCACAGCCTGTGAAAGCTGTTGCAAAAACCGCTGCTAAACCTACTAGTTACTCCACAGATGAGGAAGATATCCCAAAGAAGTCCTCTGTGAAGAGGAAAAGTAATGTAAAGCCAAAGAGCAGTGCGACTATCACACCCAAGGCTGCAGGTAAATTTCTTTTTAGTCGTGCTCACTTATTTTGTTGTTTAAGCTTCAGAATATATTTACTGTTATTACAAAGGTCAACATTCGAGATTTTAATTAAATGGTGAATACAGATTTTTCTAGATTGTATATTATTTTGTCACCAATTACACAGAGTAGGATTATGAATGGATTAGTACATTAGTCAAATGGCATCCTGAGCTTTGGTGGCACTGACACTCTCGTTTACTGTTTTGTATGAATATTGCTAGATTATAGAAAAACAACATTGATTTTCTTGTTCATTGTACATGTGTCAGTGTCTTCAAAGGCATAATTTTATTGTTTCATCAGCTGTATGGAATGTGGCATCATTTTGTTGAAACCTCATATTATCTGCATTAGTAATATCCAATTGCAGCCAAAATTATGTAGAATGCTTCTGAGTATGTATACTCCAACAAAGCTCAGAACGAAATTTGCCTGATTTGCTTCTCCATAAGCCATACTTTAAGATTTATTGAATAAATAACAGTCTAAAGAAATCTTGCATAAGTTAATGTACATGTAACTATTATAGCTGTCCCTGTGCCCAAAGCATCAGCTACAGCTACAAGAAAATCTCCTGCAAGAGCTGCAAGTACTCCTAAAAATGCCACTAAACCAGCCAAGGAAGCTGCTAAGGCCAAGCCAGCCAAAGGTGGCACTAAAGCAAATGATGCTAATAAGAAGAAAAGCATATTTTCTCCAGAAAACAGTTCAGACTCTGAAGGAAAAAGTGGTAAAACACAAAAAGCTACTGGCAAGACCAAGCCAGAACCTAGAGCTAAAGCTGTACCTAGGGCTGTCGAAAAGCCTAAGGTTGAGAAAAAGAATGAGAAGGTTACGGCTGCCAAATCAAAACCAGCTGCAGGTAAGATATAGGAGGTCTGTAAATTAAGTTACAAGACTGATTTTTTTAATTTTTTTATTTAAACATAATTACAATTTTATGTTGTCACTCTCAAATTAACTTCCTTCTGAAGCCACACAGCACTGGAGACAGTTCTTCCACTCCTCATAGTAGTGCTGGAACTCTGATACTGGATAAGTCTTCAGCTGGTCGGTTACAGCCATTTGAATGCCTTCAACTATCTCAAAATTTACTGGCCAAAAACTCGTATATTGGCATTGCTGTGTAACAAGGAGCTTTATCGTGTTGCAACACTCAATTGTTTTAGATCTGATGAATAGTCATGTGAGTCAAACTAAACTTTTCCCATCTTCCCCAATCATTCTACTGTCGACCGACGATCTGAATGTATAAGATCTCGTATTCTGTCGATATTTTGTTTTGTTGGTTCTTGAAGATGAAGGCCTTCTGCTTTGTGGTTCATCTTTGTCTACTCTCTCTCTTCGGAAAATGCCTTAAACCACTGAAAAACCTGGGCTCTTGACAAGATACTATCTCACTATCACTATGGACATAACTTGTTCTTGCATCAACATATTTTTTCACAAATGTTCTATTCATTATCTAGCCACTGTTCTCAATGCAATTTTGGTCATATTAATTTTATGTCAAACAGCTGAAATATGTTTTCTGGTTGACTTCTAATCTAATCATACTTGTTTCAGTAGAATCATCAGCTAGTTCTGCAACATCCACGAGTGGCTCTAGCAGCAGTTCTGACAGTGAGAGTAGTGCAGAGTCGTCAGCGAACAATTCCAGAAAAGTGGTAAAAAAGCCTGTCAAGAAACCAACTGTTGTACCCAAAGAAAATGCTGTCAATACTGACTCAGAAAATGAAGGGCCTGAAAAGAAACAAGTAAATTAATCCTCAGTAGATCTTAGCTAAATTGTTCCATTTAATATGTGACACCTAATTACTTTGCTAGACATTCAGAGTTATTACGCAAAAAATTATATAATGTCAAAAATTGACAAATTGTCAACTTTATGACTGGTATCTGCTAGTGTTCAAATAGTTCATCCCACTATTGCTCGCTGTGAGCGTCACCCTAGCGTCATCTATGGAGGAAAGACGACATGCCAGCGTGCTTTGTTGGTTGCAGAATGTCGAGATAGTCTAGAGTTTGTATCACTGAGAAGATGTGAAAGAAAGAAAATTGGTTGAAAAGCAAGATCGCATCTGCATGTGTATAAAATCAGTGATATTTTCTATGTGAGAAAATTATTACTGAATATGCTGCCCGTGAAGTATATTAGCTATACTAAACGGGCTATTTGTGTTGTCCTTTCTGAAGAGAGGTTATGTTCAAAGTTGTAAATTTTACCCCTTTTTTGCGTTTTCAATAACTTTGAGAAGCATTACGGGAAATCACCACTGCGCCAGCGTGTGTCACATCACAGGAAAATAGGAATGATGCACACAAAACATTTTCGCAGTGAGTAACATCTAGGCCTTGATTTGCATTTTCTACTTGACATCGCAAAATAAATTTCTATAAAATTTAAGCGACTGGAAATAAAAAATATTTTGAAATGTAAATATTCCTATCTGTAGCCTATTTTCTTACCAGTTAGTCGTAATACACCAGGGATTTTATTTTTTATCTCTCATTTTTGAAATTCAGCAAATTTGCATGTGATTTCCAGGATGAAGCATACATCTCAAGTAAGTGTTTTTGCGACAACAAACTAAGGGAATTATCATACACGCAGATTATTAGTACACAAATCTTCACTATGCACCTATGCCCTGCTGTTTTCTTACAGCTATAGTATACAATGCTTAGACCTTAGAGATTAGACCTCAAATAACGCCATATCTGGATCGTATGTTTCATCACATCAGAGCCAAACATTGATAGCTGAGTCGTCATGATGTTTAGGCAACACGTACATCTACAGAACGAGTGCACATCAATTGGACAACAGCTCGTTCTAAGTTAACATCCTGTAGAAAAACCTACATAATCTCACAAAAAACCTGCATAATATCATAAAAAAAAACAGACATAATGTCACATTCCAAGTTGGATTGTGAGACGTGCCCCCCTAGACATATCCTCCCTCTACTCTTCAATTTTTATGAATCGATTCTGATGGTCTCGATTCTTGAACTTGATAGTTTCGGTACCAGCTCTGACAAAAGCTTGCTGGGTTGGTGGGTTCTGACTAAAACTTGAAACGTGTTGTGGTTTGTCATTCGGTTATGGGGGTTACAGTCAGCTCATTTATATTTATATTCAAATTTAAAGAGCATTTATTACCACCATATTCAGAAAACTTCACAAAACATTTTCATAACTATGAAACTAGGGGCAGTATAGATTTTTCTCTGCAAAATTGTAATAGTAGCATAACTAGTAAATCTATTTCAGAAGGGAGTATTTTTGTTTAATGAATTGAATTATGATCTTAAACAGGCTTCGAATTTAAAAATCTTTAAGATGAGATTAAAAAATCACTTTCTGAATACCCAAAATGCATAACAATGTAATTTTAATGGACAAGAATGTGAAAAGAAAGTTGAATAAAAAAAATCTTTACAAGAAAAATTGTACAAAACTGACATTGCAGCATTTATAAAGCTTGAAGAAGCAAACATACAGTGGCTGCGAAGTAATTTACATGTTTCCTTGCCACTGTTTGTGTTTTGCTGCCTGAAATGCTTTACAACTTTCTTTCTTCTATATCTCTAATCCATTTTTTCACATTATCATTTAACTTTGTTTTATTCTATATTTACTCTCTCGGCTTCATCACCTGTGATAAATTTGACAGTAAAATGGCTACATAGCAAGAACCCAAAAACCGTCCATATTCGGAACTCCACACCGTAATTATTACCGTATAAATCGTTACTTGTTTGGAGTCCAGGAATGAAAAGTGTGATAGCGAGGATCCGAATTCGGATACTATCGTAGCTTTTAAGCAGTTCAGTTCACTCAAATACAACTTGTTTTTACGCGCTCTTATCGCAACTGTCGACCCCGGTTTGAGGAATCGGAATCGAAACCTTCGGAATCATGCCGGAATCGGTTTCTTTAATCCTCCTTCTGAACGACACGTGCAGAGTCCCTATTCCCTGTTCGTAGTCCATTTACGCCCCGGTACAACAAAGTTGCAGCACGGCAAAGCGGCAGCCGCGTAAGCGTTGCAATACCTATTGGTCCATTCGGCCATATAACTACGAGCAAGTGCAGGATTCGACAGGATAGAACTCAGGCTCGGGGTATCGCCGGCACGCCGACGCCGGCGGTTGCTGTTCATATTCGGTGCATACATAGCGTGTGTCTATACATTAGCATGTCGTCTGTGGATACAGAACATGAAAGTGAGAATATTTCTTCCAATGCTTCCTTCAGCCATGCTTCCTGTTCAGTGATGTCTCCTCCCCGAAAACGTGACAAGAAGGCAAGAGAAATTGTCCTTAACGTTTACAAGAGCGAAATTTTAGAGCATCCTGAAATGAAAATTCATGATATTGAAAGACGTGTGGAACAAAACAGGCTTATGTCCTAAGACAATTTTCAACATTGTGAAAGAATATGAAAAAAAATGTCTTTACCACTCAACATTCTGCATTACACGAAGCTGTTGGATACAGTTGATAACTTTGATCGGAAAGCCATCAGACGCAGAGTCCGCCAACTTCCCACCATAGACAAAGTATTACAGGAGGTTAATAGTGATGAAGACTTACCTACTTTCAAAAGGACCACATTCTATAGTTTACCCAAAGAAATCATTTTGAGAATAAGAAAACGGGGCAGACAAGAGATGATTTTATGGAGAAGAAATTATTTAAAATCAATAAAGAAATTCCATTGAAATGATTTGGGCAAATATAAAAACTATGTGGCTTCAAACAATAGAACATTCAAATTTTCTGATGTGGAAAGATTGTTTCCGTCACGTTCAAGAGACAATCGAAATTCGCATTAAAAGATGAACAAGATTTCAAGTTTTTTGATCATACTAACTTCTAATTCAGTTAACATGCTGGGGATGATACTTGATTGTCGAATGTCGTGGGGGTTCCACGTTGAGTGTTTGTGCAATAGATTGCGAAGGAGTTGCTATGGCTTGAAATTCTTAGCAAAGAAGTGCAGTAAACGAATTTTAAAAACTTTATACTATGCCACTGTCAACTGTCATTTCCGGTATGTATTCTCAATTGGGGAAGTGGTTCACCAGCTGTAAGAGTTCTCCTGCTTGCAAAAATATGCCATTAGAATTATTGATAACCTTGGTTGGCGCCAATCCTGTAGAGAATCCTTTAGGACACTAAAGATGTTGACTGTTATAGGTATTTACATTTATGAGTTGGCTTTGTTTGTTTTCAAAAATAAGCTCGAATTTGAAGTCATCAAACACCAGCATGAATATCCAACTAGGTCTAAGATGCTTTTAATCCCGCCGAGACATCGAACTACGGCATACTAAAAAACATGCAGGTATATGGGATGTAAGATTTTTAATAAGCTCAATGATGATATTAGGAATGAATCAACTATAGCTGTTTTCAAAAGAAAACTAAAACTTTTTTTGATAGACAAATGTTTCTAAACCTTGGAGGAGTGTTTTGTTTAGATCTATTTTTATACTTTTTCAACTCGTCACCACTGTTTTTATGACCTTTTCATTTGTTATACAATTTTCTGTTCCATTCAACAATGAAATAAATTATTATTATTATTATAAACAAAGATGTGAGATTTGGACAATATGATTCATCTTCAAACTGAACCCGTAATAATTAATATTAACCATTCGGACGACGATTCAAGTATTTCCAGTGAATAGAGAATTGTGAAAAGTATGTGCACTTCTTTCTATAAAAATAATAATTTATTTTGTTAGATTATTCCAAGACCACTGAGGAACATACGGACTTATACAATCTCGCTTTTGGGCATGTTGTGTTTTGTCTGGGCGGAAAAGGACTACGAATGGGGTATAGTAAATACTGGAAAGTTGATAAAAACGGATCTGTATAGGTGTTCGCGTTCTCAAAGATGCTTAGAGCTTTCAAATTCAAAGCACTATGCGAGTATTATAACAGCATTTTTTTTATCCCTGGCATTTCGGTTTGTGACAGCATGGCTTTTGAATTTCAGGTAACAAGGAAATTGACAAGGTCGGCCAGTACAAGGAAATCAAAGCATGTTCTTGGAAAAAACGTTTTCTCTGACACAGATTCTGACACTGAGAGCACAAAAAGGTCTTTATCTCGATCGCCAGTCAAAAGGGCGCCCGTTGTTACCAAGGGAAAACAAAGAACAACAAGAGGAATGACGTCAAAAATAAGGGTAATGTAAACAAGCGATGCTATTTTCTGATAGATATTCGATTCTGGTAACAGATGGTATTTGTGCTGTCTCATGTGAATACATTGATATTAAACAAATACTAAGTTCTTTTCGAATCCAAAATGTCACTGATGAATTATTTTCAGGCAAAGAGACTATAGTGATAGAAGAACGTAAATGTCCAATGGAGGGCTGTAATAGTATGGGACACTTGAGTGGGAAATTTGAAAAGCATTTTACCTTAGAAGCGTGTCCCATGTATCACAATACGACTCCTGAAAGGTGTAAAATAGAGCTGGAGGAGCGAAAGAAACGAGAGGTAAGAATATCGATCTTCTTGACAAGCGACTCTATACAGGGTTATCCAAAGTAAGTGTCCACCATTAGTAACTTTGTTATTAGTGAAAATACAAAGTTGTTTGAATTAGCAAACTAGTAGCATTTTTAACGCTGGTAAAAATGAGAAATAAAAAAAAAAAAATTGAGAGTCGTTATTTTGATTTTTTTCAGTAAAATAACATTTTTTTAAATGGAAACCCCTGTATATTATATTTTTTTCTATTAAAGCATAAAATTTTAAACAAAAAAGCTTACAATAACTTTTCTCCTAGGTTACAAATTGTTGAAGTTATGGCCTCCAATCTGAAACAATTAAATTGTATCGACAAACTTTATTTTCAACATCAACTTATAATCTTACAAAATACAATAACAATTTTTTTTAAAGAAGATGCTCGAAAACACCACCTTGTTCTTCAATACATTTTTGGGCACGTTTTTCAACTGCTCGAACTGTCTTAAGTATGGTCCTACCATCTATCTGGGTTATCTTTTCCCTAACTGCAGTCTTTAACGCGTCAAGGTTATCGTACCTTCGCTTGTAAATTTGGTTCTTTAAGTAACCCCACAAGAAGTAATCAAGTGGGTTTAGATCTGGTGATCTGGGAGGCCACTGTATTGGGCCATTTGTTCCTATCCACTGGTCATTAAAAGTAGTACTTAGAAAATGATAAGTACCTCTGGAGTTGTGGGCAGGTGCGCCATCTTGCTGAAAATGCAGATGATGTCTACTTATAAGATCCAATTCGTCTAAGAAATTAGTCAGAATTTCTGACATAAATTCCACATATCTTTCACCAGTCAGGGTTCCCTCATAAAAGAACGGGCCAACAATTTTTGAACCAATTATACCGCACCAAACGTTGAAACTGAAACGGACTTGTGGGCCTCTTGGATGTACTAACAAAAGATTTTCTCTTGACCAATAATGGTGGTTTTTTCTATTAAACATTCCAGAATTTGAAAAATTTGATTCATCTGTCCATAAAAGGTAACGAAAGTTATTTACATTTTGGCGACAGAAGCTAAGATACCAATGGCAAAAAACAAGTCTTCTCTCTGGATCCCCTGCCAAATGCGTTTGAACTGGTCGGTACTTATACGGAATAAATTTGTATTTTTTTAAAATCCTTTGAACAGTACCATAACTGAAATTAGAGTCCTTGAGAATATCTGCTATTGAATTCTCACGATAAGCTTCAAAATATCCAATAACTGCAATTTCCGTGGCCTCGCTTATTATGAATTCTTTTTTTGCCCTTGTTTTAGCAAAAACATTTTCGTTGCCCCTAAATTTTCGATAAAGTCTCAGAAAATATCGTTCATACGGTTGAATGCGAGCGGGATATAATTCACTGTAGTATTCTCTTGATCTCAAGGAGGATTTTCTGCACACTAAATAGCATTCTAACATATCACACTTTTCTTCATGGGAGAACATTTTTCTTTAAATTAATGACACAATAAAGCTTATAAACAAGTATTTACACTAATGTTTGACATTATTTGATTTTATCATTGTTTTCCAAAGCCTTCTAGTTGCGAGTATGTCCAGTTTAACAATTTGTCGCTTATCTTAATGCTGTCAAATCGCGAACGCCATGTTGTTTTCATAGCCGTCTTAATATTATAATACTGCAAATAATTAAAAATATTTATCGTTATTTTGACTTTATTTTTGACTTTAGCGGAAAAGTCATTATGAACTTTTTTGTTTAAAATTTGATGCTTTAACAGAAAAAAATATAATATACAGGGGTTTCCATTTAAAAAAATGTTATTTTACTGAAAAAAATCAAAATAACGTCTCTCAATTGTTTTTTTTATTTCTCATTTTTACCAGCGCAGGTATTCATGGGGTCATCATCTTGCTGGAATGTCCATCGTAAAGAAGTAATGTTCTTCAGCAAAAGGGAGCATCTGTTCACTAAGAATATCTTTGTAAAGTTTTTGATCCATTTTCCCCACAAATTTTAACAATTGGACCTGTTCCAGAACGAGAAAAACAGTCCCAAACCATGATGTTGCCTCCACCGTGCTTAACTATTGGCAACTGATACTTTTTGTCGAATCCTTTTCGTATTGGACGTCTCGCATATGCCGTACCGTCAGATCCAAACAAGTTAAATTTGATTTCATCGCCCCATAAAACTGTATTCCGTTGTTGTTCTGTCCAAGTTAGGTGAGTTTTAGCAAATTCAAGCCGAGCAATACGATTTTTTGTAAATGAGAGGCTTTTGCACTGGACGCCTACCAAAAAGCTTAAAATCCACCAAGCGTCTCTGCACTGTTCTGAAAGTAAGATTCTATGCACCCCCTTGTACGATTCTTTTGAAAATCTGTGTGGCTGGCATTCGAGGATTTTCATGGTACAAGCGTTCAATGTAGTGATCCAAAACAATCAGTTTTTTTCGGTGTTCCGCACCTGGGCCACGTTGCTGTTGATCCGTATTCTTGATATTTACTAATAATTTTCGAAATCGTCCCTTTGTTTATTTTCAATCTTTGTGGTGTCAACATTTCTGACACCACTTCTAAATAATTCAATTACTTTGCCTCTTAAATCTTTTGAAAATTCTTTTACTTTTGCCGTTCTCACTGATGTTAATATTTACCGCACGCAATATCAGAGTATCGCAGAACGAATAAATACGGCAAAACAAATGTTCCCATACTTTTGTCGTTACAAAAAATGTGGTGTTTGAATAAACGCGTGTTTTTATTTCCAAAGAATTTGAGTATTGATAAGATAAACCTTGTATTAGTACGGGAGACAAAGGTTGGCTTCAATATTTATATCATATGTTCCTTCACAATTCTAATTTATCTATATGAAAGAGTTCATAATAATGTTAAAATTTGTTTCCAAACTTTTGTCCGCTACTGTAGCTTATTTGGGGTGCCAGGGGGACGCTCTCCCGATAATCCAATTGGATCTTAAAATTCACATATTTAGCATGATTTTGTTTGCAGTTTTGGGGATCTTTTAGATTTTGCCCACCTGAAAAAAATTTGCTATCCCGGCAGGGTAAAAAATCCTACGTAATGTCAAAAAATTGGTAAAATGTCGAATTGTGTAATGTGCCGCTAGTTCATTCCGCGCATACTACAAGTGTGCTCGAGGTGCATGTCAGTTAGTGCAAAGGTGACATTTTATAAGAATGTCAAAAAACCACATAATGTAAAAAATCGATATAATGGCACTTTTTAAGTTGCGTAATACGTTATATTGCTACTGCAGTTTTGTAAATGAAAGTCTATACTTCCTCTAGTAGAATAATTGTGGCACTCATTGTTCAATACAATAAAATTTTCTAAGTGATTTGATAGAAGATGATTTTTTAACTTTAATATGAAAATGAACAAAAAGTAGTCTATGAAATTTGTGATATTTAACCATTGTAGTTCTTTCAGCATAAAATTACTCTAGTACATTCATTTTTATTTAAGATGATTCTCATAGCTTTATTTTGTAATATTTCTAATTGTGAAAATACAGTTTCATTTGCAGTGAACAAAATAGTCGAACAATATAACAAATGAGGAAGAATGATAGTGTTGTACACAATTTTTTTAGAATAAACGCTTAGGCTATGCGAAATTCTATAAAAGTAATTTATTTTCTTGGATATTTTTGAAATAATATATTCATAGTGCCCTTAAAATTTTAATTTAGTGTCTACATATATGCCCAAATATTTAAATGATTCGATTGACACAATTTTTCATGATTAATTGTAAGATTTATTGTATTTTGATCTAAAAATTTTCCTATTAGCATATATTTTGTTTTGTAGTTGTAAAATATCAGGAATATCGTTAATATATAAAATAAATAGTATTGGACCTAATTTGCTACCCTGTTGCACACGTACCGAAATGTTTTTAATGTTTGATAATGTATTGCCAATTTTAGTTCTTTGACTTCTATTCATTAAATAATTTTGTAATAAGTTGAATTCTGAACCTTGAAATACATAGCAATGCAATTTCGTTAACAATTTCTCCCTGTCAGTAGTCTCAAATGCTCTCTTGAAATCTAAGTACAATGTTACTGTAAACTTTTTTTCATCCATATTTCTCCTCCATTCTTCTACTACCATTTGAATTGCTGTTTCAGTAGAATACTTTTTTCTGAATACTGCTTGAAATTTTGTCAATATCTTATTTTCTTCGATATATTCAATGACTTGTTCATATATGATTCCTTCTAAGAGCTTCTCTACATCTGGCAGTACATTAATTTGCCGCATGCTTGTATATAACTCAGCATTTTGCACTTTTGGAACAGGAGTAATTGTAGAACATTTTAATTTTGAAGGAAATTCGCCATACACTAAACAATGATTCACTAACAATTAACTTCTCTCCAATAATGTTGAAACATTCCTTCATAACCATTTTTGAAAGATGTTCACTAGGATTTCTATTCGATTCCAATCTTGTAATAGCGTTTGAAAGATGGCTGATATTTATTGTTTTCAATTGTCTCATAGAAGGATTATAAGTGACTTGCATGTGACATAGATTTGGATCAACATCTTCGATTGATTCCACTATCTCATTTATACTTTCTATAAAATAGGCAATCATTCGTTCTGCAACCAATATTTTTTGTGTTACTATACCATCGTCAAAGCACATTCTTGATAATTCGGTCTACTGGGAGATACAATATTTTTTAGTGTCTTCCACATCATTTTACTGTTATTTTTATTGCTATCGATTTTGTTTTCATAATATTTTTTCTTTTCGTTCCTAAGATTTGTTAAACACTTGTATCTTCATTTCTTATATTGTATCCAATCTTCTTCAGTTTAAGTGATCATAAACTTTTTATAGTCATTATCAGGCGTCAATTTATCCATTCATTTGGGGGTATTTTTGGCTCTTTGCCAACAGGAAGCCAGAAAAAAATCTCTTGACTACCACAAACGTTCACCGCGAGCTCCAACCTCAGAACAAAGAGCTTTTCTCCAGAAGATCAGAGACTTGAGGGCAAAATGGAAAGCGGAAAACAGTGAGGATATCAAACCGTGCATTGACAAGAACAGGGAGCCAGATTTGACCAATTTCGTGCCAGATTATGATCTGAAACTGTTTCAAGATGCTAGGGCAATGGCAAGTGAGAAAATCGAGGAGGATTTGAAGATGCTGCCCAGCACCAAAGGTTAGTATTCGTCATTGATGTAGATTTGAGCTCATCTCATGTTGTAATTAAAAAAGTGGCGTCAAGTAGATTGACTACATACTTCCCACGCCTTAGAAACAACTTCTAGTACAGTTTTCAGTTTAGTGCACTGGAATCAAAAAGACGTAGGTTTTGTCAGGCTTTTCATGAAAAAAACTTTCCTCAGATTGCAGCAATGATCGTATCTGAACACGGTAGCCTTATTTCTTTGGAGGTATACAACTGGTTGTCAACAATGTTTGATAACTTATTATATACCATATATATTATATATCCTCTAATACAATATATTTTATGTATCTGTCACCGACAATCTGTATAATCCGGTATTCTATACAATACCTAGGTAATGTATAGAATGAATATATGAAATATTATTTGTTTTATACTTTGCCTAGGTATTCTATACAATACCAAATGCGCAGCCGGTAATGTATGTAAAAGACGAGAGCAAGGATCGGGTTGTACGTACCGGCAGGCAGGTAATAAACGAAATGCACCCTTGTAAGCAAAGAAAATTACATTATGTTACTTATAACTTAGTTTCACATCAATTTTACTGTAGAAACAAAGATGTGTTTTTTGTGTACCCTTTTCATAAAGCTTATATTTAAGAAGCACTCTAGTTGTTAATTTTAAGAAAGTTGCTTTTAAATAATATAACTTGTTTCATTTGCCCGTCATTTTATGGGTATGCTTGTTAATATTGATAACTTTAGACCAAGATCTATTTATTTTACACATTGCCGGTGGAACAGCAGGAACTCTATACAATCTCTAGGAATTGTATTCATTACCTAGGTAAAGTATGTAATGGATAATAATATTCATAATATTTCATACATTGCCTGGGCAACCCAGGTATTCTATATATTGCCTAGGTTTTGTATAGAATATCTGAATTGTACAGATTACCGGTAACATGTGTATACAGGGTCGCGCATCGAAAACGAAACAGACGCATTTACTGGCAGCTCAGTTTTTTTTTTAAAACGCTCAGACCCGTCGATTTTGTTTTCGAGGGGGACACAAGTTTGGCAAATAATCACGTTAGCACGTGCAGCCCCCTAAGCGGTGGTGACACCACCCCCAAAATCTTGAGTGGAAAGGGGGGTCGAGTGATACCTTATTTTAAACGTCTTTCAATTCCCTTTATAATGATATCAGATCAGTAGTTTTGAAGATTCATTGATTTAAAGCTTAAATAAAACTAATACATCATCATTAGTGGAGATCAATACATTTGGCAGCAAAGTAATTTAAAAATGAAGAATGAACTGACCCGTTAGGCAAGTAAATGTTGAAAATGGCCACCATGACTCTCCAGGCAATAAAGATTTTGCTCAAAACGTTGCCGCACATTTTGCAATATTTGAGGGGTAATTTAAAGGCACTCATTCACAATTCTATGTCGCAGGTCTTCTAATGATGTTGGATGAGTAGCATAGATTTGGCTTTTTAAATGACCCCACATAAAGAAATCCAAAGGTGATAAATCTGGCGATCTTGGGGGCCATTCAATGGCACCTCTTCTACCAATCCATCGATCTGGAAACGTCTGATCTAAATATTGTCGCACACGTAATGCGTAATGAGGTGGGGCACCATCCTGTTGGAACGTCAACCTATTCGCAATGTACCGCCGATCATTCGGATTTTCAATTATGGCTGTTAATGCAGCATCTATGGCGTCTTCTAGTAATTCCAAATACATTTCACCGGTCAAATTTCCAGGTAAGAAAAAAGGACCAACTAAATGGTCGCCAAAAATACCAGCCCAAACATTTAATTTTTGTGGCTGCTGTGTATGAACCTCATGATAAATTCTGGGATTAGAATCGGACCAATATCGGCAGTTATGACGATTTACTACGCCATTTAAGAAAAAGGAACATTCGTCGGAAAAGCAAGTGTTGAATATTCATCGTTTATAATTCGTTCACTCATATCTTCACAAAATTGTAATCGAGAATCAAAATCGCCTTCATTAAGTTCTTGTACCAGGTGAATTTTATACGGATGAAAACTATGTGCCTTTAGAATCCGTTGGATAGTACGTCGACTAACACCGCACATAGACTCCAATTTGCGGGTACTTAACGTAGGATCTACATAAGCTTGCCCTAAAACTCCCACTTCTATTGCTTCGTTCATTATGGGATTTTCAATATTGCGTTTTTTATTGGCGACCGACCCAGTTTCCCGAAATTTAGCTACAAGTTCTAGAACATATTTTCGATGTCGCTCATTAGATATTTCTGCTGTTCTATTAGCGCACTGATTATTTCCGAAAAATATTTCGATAAGTTCAACTCTTTCTGCTGTGGAATATACCATGGTTAATTTATGTAAAAAAGCGTTACAAGTTATTTTAGCAACAAAGTTTGGTCAAATTAATCGCAAACTATGTACTAAATTCCTATTTAAAATAAGTACGAGATATATCCTTATCTTTATTCAAGAAATAACTTTTTTGCCACAAAAAAAAACGCTCTAATAGCTATTTTCAACAACAAAATAATAAACAAACCATGGGCGTAGTGAAGAAAAGCATTTACTTATTAAGTAAATTCTTTTAGTCAAATTTGTTCTGAAAGTAGTACAAACTAATCTGATGTACCTATTAAAGTCTACTTTAAGCTTTGAATCAATAAATCTTCAAAACTACTGAACTGAAGCTCATGTATTTTACATCATTATAAAGGAATTGAAAGACCTTTAAAAGAAGTGTCACTCGATTCCTTTTTCCATTTAAGATTTTAGGGTTGGTGTCACCCCCGCCCAGGGGGCTGCACGTGTTAACGTGATTTTTTGCCAAACTTGACTCCCCCTCGAAAACAAAATCGATGGGTCTGAGCGTTTTAAAAAAAAAAACTGAGCTTCCAGTAAATGCGTCCGTCTCGTTTTCGATGCGCCACCTCACGAAATCAAGTAACGTCATTAGATGAAACTCCAGGCGTGATGCTCATATAGATGGAATTGCGCCAACCTCTTATGTGCATATCACGTCACTGCGCCAATTACTACCTGCTTTTATAAGTCCCTTGGATCCATACCAAAAATGCAATATTTACAACCTCGTGACCTATAGGTATACGCAATCCGTCGGTTGAAAATATTTTTGTTTTAAAGGGAAAACAGATGCTTAAAAGATGTTAACGTCAAAAAATTGCGATACACCCACCCCCTAAAACCCACCCTTCAATTTTCTACCCTAAAAATGTTTCGATAATGATCAGGATCCTCGGAAGCATCAAAAAAGGAAGTTTGAGCGATTTTTATTATTCTTGTTTTTTACAGTTTCCCCATCACCACTGGATCGATTTTTAAAAAATACAAAGCTTTCCGCCATTGGCATAGTAAAGTAGTGTAAAAATTTTATCAAAACTCGAGCAGTACTTTCTAAATAGACGGACCAAGGATTAGCGCCATTTTTAAAAAAAATGTTCAGGGTGTCCAGTGGGAAAGTTCACTTTTTGATTTCAACATATTCCTAAATTAGGCGGGTTTTATTTCTTAAATATCATTCCGACCAAATGTTTGCCATCACTTCGGATGCACTCTTTTAATCGCTTGCGCAAATTCTGAAACACTCTTGCAGAGTTCCGGAGTGATGTTGTTTCTTTCTCGTCGAATATTGTCTTTAAGCTCCTCCAGTGTTCGTGGATTATTGGAATTCACTTTTGACTTTAGATAACCTCACAAAAGATAATTGCATGGCATGAGGTCGGGTGACCTAGGAAGCCAGTGAATGTCTCCAAACTTCGATATAACTTTTTGAGGAAGAAGTGCTTTCACCGTGTCCAGCGTATGGGCAGTGGCCCCATCCTGTTGAAACCATGTATTTTTTGTTAAATCGACGTTCTGTTCTTACAATAGGAGCAAAAAAAAAGTGTCAATCATGTCCTTGTATCGCTCGGAATTCTCTGTCAGTGCATGACCGTTTTCGTCTTCAAATAAATTCGGCCCAATAAAGAGCTAGAGGATATGGCGCACCAAATAGTCACCTTTGGACTATGTAGGTGTTGTTGATGTTTCTCTTTTGGGTTCGTTAGTGCCCAATATCTGCAATTTTGCTTGTTCACATAACCTTCTAAGTGAAAATGGACCTCGTCACTGAAAACAACGTTCTCGAGTCTGCGCTGCGTAGGAAAAAAATTTAACATTCGTTCAGCACAAGATTTTCGTAATACGTAGTCACTTTTCTTTAAAGTCTGGATGAAAACACATTTTTTTTCTTCATTATGCCATATGCAGGGCTGACCTAGGGATTCCCAAAGCAGCGGAAGGCCACCGTACAGAACGTCGAGTTTTTGCAATGACCGAATCGCTTACATGTCCTACAGTTTCTTCGGTTGATACAGTAAGTGTGGAGCCAGGAATGGGTTGACTAGGGGTAGAGCCTGTTTCACGGAACCTCTTCAACCACTTTTTCAATAGGTTCTTACTAGGGGCATCTCTTGGTCGGCGAATGTTGTATCGTGTACAAAATTTCCGAAGGGCAGCTGTGTATGAATCACCTCGCTTGAAGTAAGCCTCGATAGCAAAAGCACGTTTCGCTCCAGTCCAACGTTCCATCGTGACTATTTAACCCGCACACGGAACGCGTCGATCAAGACCCCTCCCCACTTCCTCGCATATACGGTTGCCGCGTAATTTGAAATGTGAACTTTCCCACTGGACACCCTGTACGTGTTTTGGAATGCCGTGTATTTTCGTCCCTTATAGCCGATTTGCACGATCCAATAAATTGAACCATTTTTTAACCTTGAAGAAGTCGGACCGTGTAAACATAAAAATTGCTATCAATTTCTTCACAACAATAAATTTATGAATACATTTCCAGATAAGAACTAGTTCTAATTTGCCGTCAATTTTCTTGGGGAATCCTAATTATTTTTCTTAGATACCAACCTTCGTTATTTGACGCGTTCACGTTTTGTGATTTGAGATTAAAATTATAATCATTGCAGTTTGGCTTGGTGCTTTTTTTTAATTCAGGATTTAGTATTTTTACAAAAACAATCAATATGTAAGTATACTGTAATCTTTTTATTGGAGAGGTTCATTATACATAGGTCATGTTTTGCTATTTTTTTCCCTGAGGTTGGTATCATAGGACGTTTACTATAAGAGTTGGTATGCTTGATTTGAATAAATTTGGTCATGTAATTGCTTTACCTGTTACGTTGAAGAAATTCATTAAATTTTCTGACAATTTATTCGTGAATGCTTAATATATCGGATGTCCTTTTGAGGAAATTGTACTAGTTACTTCTTTCCCGTTTCAGGTACCAAATACATCGAAATGGGAAAATTCGACATGGAGGTTTGGTATCAGAGTCCCTATCCTGAGGATTATGCACGGCTTCCAAAGTTGTATATTTGCGAATTCTGCCTTAGGTATATGAAGTCAAAAACGATTATGGAAAGGCACGTTGTCAAATGTGTTTGGAGACATCCACCTGGCGAGGAAGTAAGTTACAGACTTAATTAGACCTAAATAGAATGCAAATTGGCACCCTCCGTATTTATTATACACATTTGAAATACACTACTCAAAAAAATTAAGAGAACAGGAAAAAAAATTTTCGGTGATATTTGAAATGCTGTATTTTGGTGACACATGGTCGTATCTAGACTTTAAAAAAGCGTGTTGAAGCTTCAAGATTCTAGTTTTCAGATTTCTTAGCCGAACAATTTTAGGAGCAATGGTTCTCATGCAATTCTAACAGATTTTAGAAAAAAAATTGCGTTTTGCTTTTTAGTCCACAGCCTGATAATTTTTTTCTTTCAGGTCATATGGATCAGATTGCCGGTTTATTCAGCTTAAATATCCTGTTTTTAAAATCTCGATACTATCATTTGGCGCGAAGATAAATATCTGAATTTGAATGGAAAATGATCTTTTTGTACGTCTTGTTCGCACAGGGAATGTAAGGGTATTTCCAAAAATTGGAATAAATCTCCTATAAGATTTGATTGCAATCCTTGAGGATTTTTTTCTTGTTTCCTTGGTGTTGATTTTGAAGAATTCAAAAAAGTTACTTTTCGCCTTATTTTGGAAAACCGACAGCATTTATGGGACTGCTAATGAGAAGGCTAATGTTTTTAGGTTTTTTTATACCTCAATGTATGTTTAATAACCCTGCACGATGTGAGATCGATCCATTGTACCGTGTCTCCTAAATCCGTCTTTGAGACCATTCTAGATCCGCCCCTGGTCAGTTTTTTGTTTTTTGGAACATTCCATGAATGAAAGAATAACATTTTTTCAACTGCTTACTTAAAATTGAGGGTGTTACAGATATCCAATAGTGACAGCAAAAAAAGGAAAATAATTTTTGCATTTTATAATTTTATATCAGAACTTTGCTCCTTTGATTTCTTTCAAATTCAAAATTGGTCCGGAGAAACCGTACAATGCATCGATCTGTCATCGTGCAGGGTTATTGCGGATACATTGGCGTATAAAAAATCTAAATACATTACCAGTCCCAAAAATGCGGCCGGTTTTCCAAAACCAGATAAAAAGTATATTTTTTGACTTTTTATAGATCCTTTTTAATTGAATGTCAGATATCTCCGCGACAAATGATCGTATAGAGACCTTAAGAACAGGATATTAAAGCTGAATGAACGGTCTATCTGATCCATATGGTGGCCTAACAGAAAAAAATTGTTTCAAGCCCGTGGGCTAAAAAGAAAAAGGAAAAAATTTGCAATAAAATGTCTTGTATATCTATTGAATGAATTGAATGATAACCGTTACTTCTAAAACATTTCGGCTAAAAAACCTAAAAACTAGAATCTTGAAGCTTCAAAATGCGTTTTTGAGATGGGTTAATCACTCAAATATTGTAATCTCGCTCCTTTCAGGTGTACAGAAAAGACAAGATCTCTGTTTGGGAGGTGGATGGCAAGAGGTACAAACAGTACTGCCAAAATCTCTGCTTATTGGCAAAGTTCTTCCTGGACCACAAAACTTTGTATTACGACGTGGAGCCGTTCCTGTTCTACGTGATGACAATGGTTGATGGTGAAGGATGTCATACTGTGGGGTACTTCAGCAAAGTGAGTACTTTTTCGGGTATCTTATTTGGTATTGGGTTTCAAGCTATACTTTTTTATGGATTTGATGCGGATATCAAAATCTGTATGTAGAACAAGACGGGTTCTGAAGAGAGCGTTTTCGTATTGGAGATAAACCGATGTAGGATTTTGGCCAATACGGATAATCGGACGATAAATTTATAGGGTGTCTAAGGCTGGTTTTAGAGTCACGCTGACCGGCCGCTGACCGTCAGCGCCGACAGGCGAAATATATGAAAGTCTAGGAAGCGTTTTAGAATAAGGCGTAGCTCTCAGCGCGGACGGTGGTCAGCGCTGATAGCTCAGCAGCCATACGCGTTGCGCGTCGGCGGCGCGTAGCAATCAGTGCTGACCATCGCTCGCGCGCCTTTGCTTTCATTGAGCGTTCTAGTGTCGAACGGAGTGGATGTTGTCAGCGTGTACAGGTACAGTCACGATGTCCACACAAGTCGAGTCATCCAGTACAAAGCAGCAATGACTATTGCTCTCCGCATTTTGCGTCTGCGACTGTATTCCGTGGCAATCAGCACGATACTAAAACGTTTCGTGCTGACTCTCGGCGCTGACAAAACACGCGCTGAGCTGTCAGCGCTGTCGTCAGCTTGACACTAAGCCAGCCTAAGATCAGGATCCTATGCATGGGGATCTCAGTACATGTGGGAGATATAGCTTAGGTTATATTTGGAAAAAGTTGCGTTCCTTGGAGCGTGCTTGCATGCCATTGCGAAACTACTAGATCCTATGACGTACTTTTTTCCGAGTTATTTGGTTATACGTGTTTCTGCAACGCCAATTTTCTACAGTTTTAGTCATGAATCGCTTTACACCGAAACAACGCGCCGAAATAGTCACAATGTACATTGAAAATCGTCGTTCAGTTGTGTTAACGCAACGTGCATGTCGTCGAAAATATCGTGGCAAACAGGCACCGTCTGACAACACTATCCGTCGTTTGGTTTCGAATTTTCTTGAGTACGGACAGTGGGAGATCGTCAACATACCGTTCATCAACGACCTAGACGTTCCAATGAATTGGTTGAAGCGGTAAGAGACAGCGTCGCGCAGAACCCAAAAGTGTCGTATCGTCGCCGCGCTCAGCATTTTGGCGATCAGTCGAACCGTTGCGGCGCATTTCGAAGGATGATTTGCATTTTTTTCCTTATAAGGTGCAGTTAACACAAAAAATATTGCCAACTGACCGTCCACGTCGCATAGAATACGCCCAAACAGTCGCTTGCATGGTTGATGCTGAACCTGATTTTTGGAAGCAAACTGTGATGACCGACGAGGTCCATTTCACGCTCTCTGGCGGCGTTAATAAGCAAAACTGTCGCATTTGGGGGACGGAAAATCCGCATGAGATCCACGAAATGCCGTTGCATGACCGGAAAGTGACTGTTTGGGCCGCGGTTTGCGCCAAAACCATCATTGGGCCAATTTTTTTTCAATGAAAACGAAACAGTCGATGGAAATCGATATCGGTGGATGTTGGCTCATTATGTCTGCCCAAAAATGCGTGAAAAAGGTCTTGATGGTTACTGGTTTCATCAAGACGGTGCGCCATGCCACACTGCAAATGAAACAATACAGTTTCTGCAACGAAAATTCCCTTGACGTCTGATGTGACAATGACTGGCCACCCAGGTCTACAGATTTGACCCCACCGGACATCTTCTTGTGGGGTTATTTGAAAAGTCAAGTATACGCCAGCCAGCCCCAGACCACTAAAGAACTCAAGGCAAACATTCGTACCGCAATCACCGCTATACCACCAGAGGTGCTCTTAAAAGTAATGGAAAAGGCAGCAAAACGGGCACATTTTGTTTTGGCCAATGAAGGTGGCCACTTGATAGATGTTGTGTTCAAAAACTAGCCCCAATAAATTGTAAACGAGCATATTTAATAAAAATATCCGATATATTAGAAATCAGATTTTCGTTTTCAGAGTTATTTCATGTTTACATACTGACATAAAAGATGGCGCACCCTGTATAAACAATAAAGCTGAAGGTTTCTCAAAAACGAGACGTGCACAAAATTCAAAAACATCATCATGTCGTGCCAATGATATTCTTTAAAATATAATCTGAAAAAAAATAGAAACGGCCAAATTTTAGTTTTTCCTAAATACCTCGGTAAGCGATGAGTTGCTCATTGGCATGTAAAGCTTTTTCCTAATTTAACTTAAGCTGTATTTTTCATATGTATTGAGATCCCCATGCATAGGGTCCTTATCTTGGACACCCTGTATATCAAATGCCGATATATCGGAGTTATCGGCCTATCGGTCGTTCATTTTTTGCCTATACATTCTGATGTATTTTGGTTCGAGTGAGTACGTAGGCCAGAAACAAGTCTATTGATGGCTATACAACGTACAGTTGACAAGTAAGCTTGTACGATTTTTGTAAAATTACACAAGAAACACGTGGTGGCTATGCGTAATTGGAGCCACAAGTGAAGTTATGTAACAAAATCGTTTAATGGAGAAAAATTTTTAATTGGGACTTTTTACTTTATTGACATTTTAAATATTTAGTTTAATTAGTTTGTTATTATCCCGTAATTACAGAGCCCCACGGTACCCAATGGGTGTTTAGGCCTTAGGCCTTCGTGGTAGTTGGAGTATAAAAAAAAACAGAATGAAAGAATCACTCCTTATGGTCAGTTTAATGCAAAAAAAAACAATATTTAAAAAATGGTACACGACACCTTTATCCACTTGTGTCTTCAATTACATACTTGACAAGTATACTAATAAATTCTTTGAGCATGTAATCGGAGATACAAGTGATGATAATAATAATTTTTATTTGCTTTCAATTCAATTACAAATGTTACAGGTGAAATAAAAAACATGCAAATAAATATGAAATACCCACAGAAGGCAAAGCCTGTGCTTAAAGACAGATAAAAAAGACGTATCATTTCGTGTAATCAATGACCAGTTGCAGGTTTGAAATACAAAAACAGATTTGCAAAAGACATCTTTTCTTCGAATTTACTCAGTGAATGGTCCAGAATTGTGTGGAAGGTAAAAAAAAAGTTTTTCTATTTCGAAAGAGGCTACAAAATGTTTACATGCGAAAAACGTCTCCTATAGTTTTTTAGTAATTTTGAATAGTCGGTCCGGAAAAACCGTTCAGTTGCAATTTTAAGGGCACGAGGTTATCAATTAAATGATGAGATTGACTTTATTTTTTTTTATTCAAATATAATTACAATTTTATATTGTCACTCTCAAAATAAGTTCCTTTTGAAGCCACTCAGTGCTGGAGACGGTTCATCCACTCCTCATAGCAGTGCTATAACTCGAATACCCTTCAGCTGGTCGGTTACAGCCGTTTGAATGCTTTTGACTGTGCCAAAATGAGTTCCCTTGAGGTGTTTTTTTAACTTCGGGAAAAGAAATAAGGCACAAGGACTCAAGTAGGGCGAATAAGAAGGCTGAGGAACCTTCCGCTTCATGGTTCATCTTCAATCGACTATCTACCTTCTGAAACTGCCTTAAACCACCGAAAAATCTGGGTCTTGACAAAACACTATCTCCGTAGAGTTTCCATTGCGTTGTGCCCAAGTCTGAAGCAAAATCTGATAGCATACCGTTGTCTGGAATTGATCTCACTCATTTTCAGAACACAGGATAAACTGTTTCACAAAAAACGTCGCCTCGGACAACCAAATGACTCGACCGAGTTCAAACTTGTACTGAAGGCGGATCACATGTTCCTCTTTATTCCTCCGGCACCTCCAGTGCTGCCAGATTGAACGCTACGTTGCCAGTACCATCACTTAATTTACAGACCTCGTACATTGAGCTTCGAAATTTCTTGTTTCATTAGTCTCCTCATCAACTTTAGTAAGGATGTGGTAGATTTGCCAAAAGAATAAGACTCTTTTTTGGAAGTTTGGTATTGAAGGTGAAATATTTTTCTTGAGAGGTGAAATTGTAGGAAATCTATTCCACATTTTGGTACTGCTCTTAGATTTTCTGTACGATTATTGGTTGCCGAGGTATTGGAAGACAAAGGAATTCTTTTTCATCAACAGCCCGTGGACCAAAAATAAACATGCAAAAAATTTGTAATTTTGTTTCAGGCTATTCCTTAGAATTGCGATAGAATCGCGACTGTAAAAAATGATTGATCTGAAAACTAGAATTATGGAGCTTCAAATTGATTGTTTAAAAAACCTCAGGCATAGTGTATTTTATATTAAAAACGTTGGCGTATAGTATACACATCACTACTTGAATGTGAGACCTTGCCGGTTGACCGAAGTCACTGTTTGGAGAACGTTGAACCTTTAGTTGCCGAAATTCGTGAGAGTGAGACGGAGAGAATTAGCGAGGCCAATTAGACGACAACGTACGGGGGCCCCTTTTGGGCAGATACCACTGCAACCGATGATAAGGTCGACGGTTTGTGTGCTTAAGGAATACATACACATACAAACAATTCACCATGTTTACTTTTCACGCCAACTGGCGAGGAAATATTGTAATCTTGTAAAATGTCGAAAATTCTGCTTAATATTATAAATGAGAAAATGTGGATGTTTGTTACTAATTTCGCCAAAATGGCTGAACAGAACTGGATGTAATTTGAGACGGATGAAAGTCTGAAATAGCATATAGGCTACTTTTTATCTCAAGAAATAACTTTGAAATAGCTATTTCACGGGCCAAAGGGCTTAATGAAATTTGACATGTGGTGTCTGGCGCGAAAGTCTGACCAAAATGACTAAGGGCATGTAAATAGGGAATTTGCATCGCGCATCTTCTGGCGGGGAAGTATTGTAATCGCGAACATTTTAGATAATGAGATGCTATGTTTTTTGGATGTTATATGAAATGTACATCAGGAAAAAACAATCTCACTTATTTCCGTTTCTCTGTCTGTCTGTCCGCTAATTCTGTAACCGCCTAAAACTTGAGAAGTACAGCTCGATTTTCATGAAATTTTGAAGAAAGGTTACTGCTGTGCCAAGGTCAAAAACGCTTTGTAATTTTTGAATATCGATACAGTGGTGGCGGAGCCACAGGCAAAAAACAACAAAAATTTGCTCAATCTTCGTTTTAGGACATTCTAGAGGCAGCTGAGCATTTTCTGAAAAAAATTGTAGGGGTTAAAAATTTGGGGTGGTGGTTGTAGCAGGTGCAGGAATTTTAGGGGATAGGTATGTAGAATAAGTGCAAGCCAAGAATACTTTGATTAACATCACACACCAATTGTGTTCAAACTGTTTTGGTGGCGGCATAATACACAATGACTTCTTATAATTTTGAGAGCTCGCTATTTGATTAAATAATATACTGAATCAATCTACTTTACTCGAATATTTCTTGTAGATTCTTTTACATACTACTATACAGTTTTGGCACCTAGGCATCAGTTTGCTGTAATCATCTGGAAATCTTACCCTTCGGTTTATGTTTGTTAAGTAAATCTTTGTTTCGGATCCTTGTGGAAGAAAAGGCGGTACGGTACGCATGCTTTGTTCCGTCGGAGCTTGGTCATTAATAAAATTCCTATAATTCTATTAATTCACGCATTTAACGGTATATAACATCTTTTTCATTTTAACGATTAGTTAGCCGATATTTTTTTGACGTTTCCCGCTTACTGGAGAACAACCAACAAGTCAATGGTCGAGATCCGTATTGGTGGTGCAGCCAGCACGAGGGCGTGGGGTAGGTCATCGACCTCGCTCGCTCGGTGGTGAACTGGTGGCGTCGACGTCGCAGCCAAGGCGTCGAGACTCCCTGCCGTCCGTCGACTCGCCACGCGTCGACACACTCATGGCTGATGTGATTGAACCACGGGATGTCCAAAGAAGCTATTGTTTCTTTTATATAATTATCTTTCGGGAGTGATTTTTTTAATGGAAGATCTATGCATTGAACAAACTAGTAATTTAGTTTCATCCGTCTGACCGCAGACCATGGACATGTTTCGTGCTTTTCGGCAACTCATCAGCATGGTCTCGGGTTGGTATCACAAAGTGCAATCTATTGCCAGAATCGGTCACAGTATCTCAGTTCGCATTTGATAATAATAATGATATTAATAATAATAATAATAATGATAATGTAATGATAATGATAATGATAATGATAATGATAATGATAATGATAATGATAATGATAATGATAATGATAATGATAATGATAATGATAATGATAACGATAACGATAACGATAACGATACGATAACGATAACGATAACGAACGATAACGATAACGATAACGATAACGATAACGATAATGATTAATGATATGATAATGATAATGATAATGATATGAATGATAATGATAATGATAATGATAATGATAATGATAATGATAATGATATGATAATGATAATGATAATGATAATGATAATGATAATGATATATAATGATAATGATAATGATAATGATATGATAATGATAATGATAATGATAATGATAATGATAATGATAATGATAATAATAATGATAATGATAATGATAATGATAATGATAATGATAATTATAATTATAAGGATAACGATAACGATAACGATAAATATGATAATAATAATAATAATATATGCCTGCCAGACAGAATCGCCTCGCTTCGTCCTCTCATCCCGAACTTCGTACATCCGGAACTGGCCGATACGATCGCTTCTTTGTCCCTAGGATATCGAGATTAATAATAATAAACATCTTTTTATTTGGGTGAAGATAGCTTAAGGTATTCCTTCACTTAACCCATACAAAACTAAATACAAACATGGATAAAATAGATCAATGGCAATAAGACTCATAAAATAACAAAAGTATTATAGTTTAATTTAATTACTCTGATAACTGAATAAATATTATTTTTATTAGCTTAAGTGAATGATAAGTATTTTAATTTTGGCACTGTAAAAGCAGATTCTTGATATGCTTCTTAAAGTTATCAAATGTCAGATTTAATTTCAGGGGGTAATAAATTAAACAGTGTGTCCCAGATTCGCTTCTCTATACAGGATCTCGGCTCCTGTTATACCTACAGCAAAGGTTAAATAGGGAAAGTTTTAGAGGAAACTTAGTGCATTCGGTAGCCGGCTTCAGATTTACGATTGGTACAATTGGTTTTAGAAATATCAGCCAGTAAATCCGAAACAGTTAATTTGACAGCTGTCAGAATATAACATTGGGACATTTTTTTTGAGGCAAATAAGCGTGTATGACATGTCTCAATCGTCTTTTGTTTTTCCGCAACGTTCATTTTTATTAATGCTGCCATATTGGATTTTTCTATTTTTGAAAAGAGCGTAAAATTTCCTGCCTAGTGATGTCTCACAAGGGCATAAAAGATTGTAGTATCATCGAAATATCAAACGTAATGTTACGTATTAAGTTTTTTCTAAGGAGGCCATGATTTATTTGTCAGAAATGACATTAATGAGTAAGGCATAAAAATACATAAACGTTAATATCGACTTCTCAATAAGTCAAATGTTTTGGGACAAATTCCCAACTATGAGTGTGTTGAAAAAACAAGTCAGAAAAATCGCCGTAAATTTATTTTACACTTGATAACAAACATTGTACAAAATTGTAATGCAATGTAAAATCTAATCATGTACGAGTAAGTGGGTATTAATTTACAGATTTGCAAAATAAAGTCCATTTGCATCCAGACATTTTAGCTGCTTCTATGTAAAAAAATAATCGACTTTATTGCAAAATAATGTTCTTCAAATAAACAGAATGACCACGAGGATGGCGGAGTGTCCCTTCAAACTGTTCTACTCACCATCAGAATAAAATGCAATTGCACAAAAAATATAGCAGGCATCACAGAATTGTCCTAACCGTCATCAAAAAAAAAAAAAATAAATCGATCGTGCTAAAAAATACACAATAAGGCATCGCAGAATGGTCATATATCATCATTCAGATATTATCACAGGTATTAGAAAGGAAACGCAGATGATTAAAAAGGACGTACTAACATTGTAATGCAGGGATGAAGTTTTACTTTGTCAGCGTTCACCTCCGACTTGGGTTATTAATGTGGCCGCTAGATGCCGTCGATTCTAGATTTAGATTCTAGATTAGTTGTGGTCTACTCGCCATCGAACAAACTAGTAATATAGCTTTCGTCCGCCCAACCATGGACAGCTGTTTCCTGCTTTTCGGCAAATCGATTCTGGTAACAGATGGAACTGTGCGGTGTGAGCATAACTCTGCTTTAGTCTCGCTAGCACTTGGTTATACCGTTGATTAACGTGTTCTATATACTATGTATATTCCGGCACCCAAAAATGGATATTAAAGATCTTAGCGCCAACTATGAGTCAGTAGCAAAACACAAAAATGATTTTAGAAATCTGCTTTGAAAGAATTGTATTTGGTTCTTCTACTGTCTCGTAGATGGCGCTAGGATCTTCAATCGATTTTTACCGCCTGCCGATTTTAATTGCTTATCATCGAGATTTGATTAACGTATTCCACCTATGTATGATAACGTGGATACTAAATTAGTCGCTCATTCATTCACTCATAAGAGCTCGAACACGTTAATTCTTGGTTGATTTAGAATCCGGGACTCAGACTGTGAGATGCATCTCTGCCTCTTGCCGGCTGTACAGTATATAACATTGTTTTTTAACAATGCAGTACGGCATAGGTCTAGTCATTGTGGACAGACAATGGAAATCAAATAAACCGAAAATTGGTCTACTCGAAAACAGAAAACGTGGTCACTGCCTCCTATGAATAGTTCAACAAACGGGATACAACCGACCCCTTCATGCGGTATCAGGAAATTTTCTTCGGTGAAACGGACAAGTATCTCCCACCAGTTAGACGTCTCGTTACTTAAAGGAGTACACATGCAATATTATTATCCATGTTAGACGAATACGGTTTAAGAGGTAAACCGCTAGAATTTCTGTCTAGACGACAGCAATATGTTTTTATCCAACAAAGTGGGTTGATGAGAGAAAAAGAGAAACCTCATCTATGGGAGTTTCTCAGGGGTCAATTTTCGGGCATATTCTGTGTTTATTGTACATAAATAAACTAAGTGACATACATGCTGTGTATGCTGACGACAGATATTTAACTATAAGCGATTTAAATAATAAAAATTTGTCTCAACGTTGTAATACTGTCGTATATAATGTAGTAAGTTTTTAGCTTATATTTATAAAGGTTCAGTGTGAAAAGTTAACAACCAGCTCGCTTATTTTCATGTTTAGAAACCTAAGCACATCTCAATCTCAGTTTATTACGCCCAGGGCGAATCTCGACTCCGTTATGGAATTTGTTTATGGAGTAGCTTTACCCATGCGCTGGGTGTTTTTATTCCACAGAAGAAGAATGTTAGTATTGCTGGTATCCCTAATACTGAGTCATGTTTAAACAGTTTTAATATTTAAAGAAAAAATATCTCTTAAGTGTCTATAACGTATATTTTAAAGTTATGTTTATATGTTTTCA